TCTCAGTTCGCGATTCTAAAAAATGTCTTGGCAGTCAATCAGGTCAGTTCACTACCTCCAGACTGACAGTTTGAACCGCAAAGATGAACTGACAACTGACTGATTGACTGATAGCAACTCTGAGCACAACAACCGTCGCATCTCTCAAGTCCGCGTCTTCGACGCTCCACTCCCCATTTCCTGTGGGATGTATCCGGCTCGTCTGTTCCCTCGTCCCTCCATCTACTTTCTGTGGAGGGAAAACATAATTGCAGAGGTTATGCGCAACTGTGAAAAGACCCATCATCAGCGCACTCCAGCCCAACTCGTCTTTTTGCTCAGTCTGATCAGCCATCTTAGGAAGCGGACCACAAATCCGATACCGGTTGTAGATCTTCCACAGATGCTGTCTATGTGCGTCTGTCACAATAACTTGGTCGTCGATCACACTACCATCCCGTACATCTTTAGCCCTTTCTACAGTTATGTCCTCCCACTCTGTGCTACTGGGAAGATAGCCATATACGCTCATTCCTTTCTCAATGCCTTCGACAGTGCTTTCTAGAATCTCGGCATATCCCCATGCTGCAACGCGGCCGTACCTTGCAGAATCGTCATACGGAGCGGGTGTCGTAGTGGGGAGCGGATACGTAGAGTACCAGCCCATTAGATGGCCGAGGCGTGCGTAGGAGAGGTTGTTCGTTGTCAGACTGATAATGACGGTACGGAGGCGGAGAGAGGAGGGTAGGAGTGGAGTGGAGGGCTTCGGGGTGAGTGGAACGAGGTGATGGGATGTGTAGTTGGCGAGACTAAGGATGTGGGTAGCTGTCTGGGAATGTGGTGATGGAGACATTGAGGGCAATCAGAGGGTGATGATCTAGTTTGGTATACAGGGGATGAAGCGTGGAGAGCACAATCGATGCATGAGCATATATATGAATTCTGCATCATTATCATATACTACTGACCCTTGTGTTGGCCAAGACTTGGCTTATCAGTATTGACGCCCATTTTCCTGTGACTCACAGTGGCCGTCTATGTAGAGTATCTGTCGCGAGTGTCAACTTGCTCAACGGCTATGTATATATGATATTCAACCAATTAGAGAGCCCCTATGCTTACGTCTAAGGATGATGCGGGGCTCAAAAAGGGCGTCCTGTTCTAACCAATCTAGGATGAAGGATTGGTTTGTCCCCCCCCTTTCTGATCTTTGTGCTGGAGCCTGATCCGTTTATACAAAATTATTGTCCGTCCGCTCTTCCTTTTTGCCATTCTCCAGTTCTCCATCCTTCTTGTCCCCATCGACGACCTTGCCGCCTGATTTCTGTCTACTCTCGACTAGCGCTTTGATCAAAGCGACTGTAGTTTCCCATCCTTCCTTTAGCTTATCCTCACTACTGCTCAAATCAGGGACATGTAGGAAAATGACGGGTCTCTCATCCTCCTTGATATTAAAATAATGCGCCAAGCTGTTGTAGTAGATGAAGCCGCACAAGAAGTTTCCGGCATCGGTGCTGATGCGCACATCAGTGCATCCTTCATTGTTTTTAGTGCCGTTGGCAGATGTGTTTCCCAAGTTCACTTTCCAGAGCGCAAGGACGTCAGATGTATCGAAGCTAGTCTTTAGTTTGTGTGGGTATTTTGAAGATGGGAAATGCTCTTCTGCTGCAGAGTCTTCGAATCGTTGGCCGTCTACGTCCGGAATCTTCCCGTACCCATGACTGTGGGATCCTTGCTCGATGGCGAAGTAGTTTCGTCCGGCTGCTAGACCGATGTGCAGCACAATATCTGGGGAGGGATAGAGAGGATTGGCCGGTGGAAGAAGCTGGGGAACGAGATTGACGACAGTGTTATATGCTACGCGGATGGGCTCATGGTGAACGTGTATGTTGATCGGAGTTTGGTTTTTGGGTGACTTTGGTATCAGAGCTGGAAGTGTAGAAGCGATATCCCAGGAAGAGTTCTTGGGTACTTTCGCTAAAAATGGCTGGATACATGTTAGTCTGTCAAATGATCGCATCCAATGTGCCTGGTTAGAAGCACAATAGGAGATGTGGGCCGGATTACAGAGCATTGGAGAAAACACAGGGGATTGGAGGGAAATATTGACATACACCAAATCCAGTGACCAGTACGGTTACTGGTTTCTCTCCCTCTTCGTTTGGGGGCTGCAGAGCAGCATAGCTTGATGGCGGCATTGATGATCGGACTTAACGGATGATAGACTTAAGAAACGAGATGAACCCGACAGAAGAGACTACCGTAGTGTTAGCACATGCAGCGGAAATTCCCGTGTGAAGGTTTTGAGAACGGTATTGCGTGTAACGATGATATGCAGCTGCGAAAGAGCGAGCTGATGACGGCATGACGAGGCTGGGAAAAGGTCACGTATACATGATAGAGCTCAACAACAATACACGTCTTTGAACTACCTCACATCCATGGGAACAGCAATACTTACAGCTACAGAAATATGTCAAATGAGTCGAGGATACACGATGATCACTGCCTGCGTTACCAAAAGGATTGCGGTCAGGTCGTGGATGTAATTCGGCACTCGGCTAGGTTTAGCGCCTGATAGAGGAGGTCCCTGGTGACATATGCGCAATGCCTCAACCGCCGACTTCATTCCCGAACAGTCGTCTACCCCACACATTTACACAAATGCCCCACTTCGCGGCGAGTTGTCCAATACCGCCTGGCGCTTTTCTTCTCGGATGAGCTCTTGTCCAGCATGCTCAGTATCGGGTAGTGCACTCGTCCAAATGATGCACACGCCGTTGCGTACTAATATGTGGGTGTCGTGTTATTCTGGGTACTGCAGGACCACTGCATAAGTACGCAGTAGATGACGTCTAGCGAGCTGTCGTCCCACGCGCCACCGGAGTGCATATCGGTAAAGATCAAAGTGAGTACGCAAAGCCGCGACTGGCAATGGTTTTGCTCTTCCATTGCAGACGCAGTAGCTAACACCAACCATTGAAGACATCTCCCTCGGTCTCAAGCTCAACCAGATGGCTCCAACAAGCTCGTCTTCGAAACCCTACTCCCTCGCTATAGTAGGCGGTGGAATATCCGGCCTCTGCCTTGCAATAGCCCTCGTCCAATTCGATGTCCCTGTCACCATCTATGAAGCCGCACCGCACTTTGGTGAAATCGGCGCTGGGGTAGCATTCGGTCCCAATGCTGGACGTGCGATGGAGTTCCTGTCCCCAAAGATATACCAGGCTTTTTTGAAATGCAAGACAGGGAACGCAGACAACTCCAAGATGGATTCCTGGTTCACAATTCGGGTGGGAGACGCTAGGAGAGAGGACAAGGAGGGATATGTGAGAGAGGGCAAGAAAGTCGGCGATGCACTTTTTGAGGTGCCCATGCATTCGAGCGGAGGGCGCGGCGGTGTATACAGAGCACACTTCTTGGACGAACTTGTCAAAGACGTACCCGATGGTGTTGCCAAGTTCGACAAGAGGCTTGTGGAGATGAATGAAGCTCAAGATGGCTCTGGGGATATCGTGCTCAAGTTCGCTGATGGCTCGACAGCACAGCACAGCGCCGTGATTGGTTGTGACGGCATAAAGTCCTTGACGAGGAAGTGGTTAGTTGGAAGAGACAATCCCGCGTCCAAGGCTGTCTTTTCTGGAAAGTATGCCTATAGAGGGCTGATACCCATGGACAAGGCCGTCGAGCTGTTGGGCGATGATGTAGCACGGAACAGCCAGATGTATCTTGGCTATCATGGCCATTTGCTCACGTTTCCAATTGAGCATGGGAAGACGATGAATGGTAAGGTCAGTCATCGTCTAGAGAGGACATTTGCTAACTGTTGTAGTGGTCGCATTTAACTCTCGCGATACCTGGGACGATGAGAAATGGGTTGTGACTACATCGAAGGAGGAGATGGAGGCAGATTTTAAAGAGTGGGGTCCACATGTTCAAAAGATTGTCAGGGCAATGCAGAAGCCAGATATTTGGGCGCTCTTCCAGCATCCACCCTGCGACACCTATACCAAAGGCCGTGTCTGTCTACTTGGAGACGCAGCGCATGCGACCACACCCCATCAAGGCGCTGGCGCTGGCCAGTGTATAGAGGACTCTTACATCCTCGCTAATCTAGTCAAGGACGCGAATAACGTTGACGAGTTGCAGCGAGCCTTTGGCGCGTTCGACCAGGTCAGACGGGAGAGGACACAGAAGATCGTGAAAACAAGTTACGAAGCTGGCAAGTTGTACGATTTCGAGCTGTTCGGAGACGACCTTGATAAAATCGAGGAAAACTATATGCACAGGATGAGATGGATTTGGGATGTTGATCTGAAAGCACAATTGGAGCAGGCGCAGAAGATTATGAAGCAGTAGACGTGATGGATGGTTCTAAACTCGTACTTTGGATGACATACACGTCGGCCATCAACGAAGCTTCTTGCCTAATCCATAACATCATCTCTCAGAGAGAAGATTTGCCTCAGCACTTCATCCGTTTTCGCACCGATTCCATTGTGGTACATCGTGTTCGTAATGAAAGTCTTGCATCCCCTGATAGAATTTGCTGTCTCCATGCTCAGATCAAGGTCAACATACATGTCGTCAACGTAGACTGCAGCATAAGTAGGCACCTCGTTCTTCTTCAGCTGCTCTTTGTCGTACAGTTGCGGCCAGTCTTTCTCTTCGGCCAGAAGGTTGCCAACAGTCTTGAGCTTGGCGAGCTCTGGGTAAACATCGAACATGAAGGGATAGATCATCTCGCCTGTAAAGTAGACAGGCTCGTCGCCATCCACACGGGAAAGCGAGAACTCGGGGTGTTTGGAAATGAGACGCTCCGCAGACCAATTCGACGCCTTTCCTTGACAATAGATTGGCTCATGGAGAAGTGCATAAATGACGTTCGTGTCCCAGCTCTGTGCTGCCTCTAGCGCGAGAACGGTGGGTCGTGTCAAATGTCCGAATTGGGTCAGATCAGTATCGGCGCGGAGAACAAATTCGTGGACATCATCAAAACCTCCATGTTTACCGAAGTAAATTCCAAGCTGCAGGAAGCGACGTGCAGAAAGGAAGCCTTCGCCGCCTTGGACGCGCACAGTCGTGTCGCCGAAACGAGAGAGGAGTTTGACAATGCGTTTAACGCGATCAATGTCTTCAGGATACTTTGCGTAATACCCTTCGTTCCTGTTCTTGACACGTGCGTATAGGCGCTCGTAAACTTCATCTGGGTCATCTCTTAGTGGTGGCAAGCCGCCGAAAAGAAACGCTTCTTTGACTCCTTCGGGGTGGTGAGACAAGTAAGTCAAGCAACAGAATCCTCCAAAGCTCTGTCCCATGATGCTCCATTTCTTTTTCTCTTCGGGGTAATCCTCGGTCAATGCTTTTCTTATGGCCTCGCAGTCCTTGACAATACTATCAGCCCTGAAGCTCTTCATATAATCTGCCTGCACCTTCTCGTCACCCCTCAACTGTAAACTCGACTGGCTTATTGCAGTTGAAAGACCAGTTCCACGTTGGTCTAGCATGAGCACTCGGTAACCTTTATCGAGAATTGTTTGAGTCCATGAGACTTTTTCGGGGCTTCGGCACTCGAAGCCTGGGCCGCCTTGCAGATATACGAGCCATGGAAGCTGGGTCTTGGAGAGCTCGAGATGTGACTTTGAAGTGTAGTCTGCGGGCTTCTCGGCTTTCAGAGCAGAGCGTGCGAAGAGCTGGATTGTTCCTGCCGAAGGATTGCCTAGAGAGGAAGGAAGTGTCAGCACGATAGTATCATCATATATAGCTATTGAGCTCGCAGTCCTGCTCTGTGTTACGACTTTCAGATAGCAAACGACGATTTGAAAATGGGTTTTGCAACGTACCATAGTCACGAGGTACTTCGAAGAAGTGCTCCGTAATTCGTAGCTTGCCTGACTATGATTAGTTCGGAGATCTGGCCGAGTGTGCGAGGTTAGTGTAATACCAGGAACTACGTGACTCTTCTGTCCTAGGATCTCTGCCGCTTGTATCATTTTCGTCATCGTTTGTAGTGTTAGATGTAAGGCGGGGAGTGAATGTATGGTTGCTATCGATAAGGAAGCCCACCCCGTAGCGCCTGCTCCGAAGGATTCACGATACTGAACAGGCTGCACGCGACAATTCGCACTTGCACTTGCAAGAACGTGCTTATTGATTAGGATTATTCGGAATTGAATACTTGATTGCAATCACTTCGGGTGTTTGCAAAGTCAGAAGCAAGGTGCTGTAGAATCAACGCCAACGTTGGGAAAATTTCCAATTGAGGGGCAAAACGCGGAGAACTTTCTATCGGCAGACCGAACAGCTGCCACACATACAGCGTTTTGCGACTGCATTGATTCAGGCCCCAGGTTGAGAAATGGCTAAGGACAAGAAGAAGGCGGCAGCGGGAGGCAAAGCTGCAGCTAAAGCAGCAAAGGCAGCCAAGCAAGAGAAGAAAGCAGGCAAGAAAGACAAGAAGGTCGCCTCGAAGACACAGGAGATCGACTCCGACGCGGAAGATGTCGACCTAGATGCCATCTTAGCACAGTACGCGAAAGAGCAGGAACAACATCATGCGATAACGGAGATACCCGCTGAGCCGCCCTCTGCCCGGACTTCAAGCACCCTCATTGCCAATCCAGCAAACGAAAATGAGATCTTCTTGTTCGGAGGCGAGTATTTCAACGGAGCGACCGCGAAGTTCTTCAACGATCTCATGATCTACAACGTCAAGCAAGATTCCTGGAAACAAGTCACAAGTCCGAACTCGCCACTGCCTCGATCTGGGCATGCCTGGTGCCGGGCGGCAAACACGAAAGAAATCTATCTATTCGGCGGAGAGTTTAGTTCTCCGAAGCAAGGGACGTTCTATCACTACAATGACTTTTGGAAGCTCGATCCGGTCACTAGAGAATGGACGCGCATGGAGGGAAAGAGCAAGACAGCCGCTCCGCCAGCGCGAAGCGGACATCGCATGGTTGGTTTCAAACAATATATCATCCTATTTGGAGGTTTCCAAGATACATCTGCTACCACAAAATATCTTAACGATCTTTGGATTTACGACTGCGTCAACTTTTCGTGGCATCCACCAAAGCTCCAAGCAGCCCGCGCAGTACCTGACGCGCGATCGAGCTTTAGTCTGCTGCCACATGAGCAAGGTGCAGTCATCTATGGTGGATACTCTCGCGTCAAGACTCAGGCTGGTGGCAAGCAACAGCAGCAAGGAAAGGGTAAGAAGACTAGCAGTGGTGGCCCAGCGTCGCGCATGGTACTGAAGCCGAAGGTTCACGATGATACCTGGTTCATACGCATCACACCTCCACCTGCCGATCAGCCATCGACAACGCTTCCAACTGTATCGTGGGAGAAGCGAAAGAAACCAGCGAATGCACCGAACCCGCCGCGCGCGGGTGCAACAATGGCTTACCACAAGGGTCGAGGTGTTCTCTTCGGTGGCGTGCACGATGTGGAGGAAAGCGAAGAGGGCATTGATTCCGAGTTTTTCAACCAGCTGTTTATTTGGAACGTTGAGCGTAATCGTTACATGCCACTTAGTCTGCGTCGACCAAAATTGAACGCGAACAAGAAGGCTGCCCAACAGGCAAATATCAATCGCCGAGATCGTGGCAAGGCCGCAGAGGAGGAGCTACTAGCCAATCTTAAAGCTCTCGAGATGAAGGCCGGTGTTTCTACAGATGCAGACTCGGATGACGAAGCTAAGAAACCCAAAGAAGAGGAAGAGGAGGAAGAAGCGAGACCAGAAAAGCCAAAGATTTTCGAGTACCCACACCCAAGATTCAATGCCGCGCTTACGGTACAGGCCGATACACTCTACATCTACGGGGGTACCTTTGAGAAAGGCGATCGCGAGTTCACCTTTGACGAACTCTGGTCTGTCAACCTCAATCATCTGGACGGCGTGACTGAGATTTTCAAGCGTGAGCTTGAAGACTGGCAAGGCAGCGAAGATGAGGCAGACTCAGAAGACGAAGACGAGGAGGATTCTGAAGACGAGGAAGGCGACGAGGATGACAAGTCTGAATCGACAGCTCCAACGAGCGTTTCAGAGTCCCCTGCCGTTGCTCCTATTCACTCCGAAGATCTTGGACCTCAAGAAGAGATTTCTGCACTTACCGATACTCTTCCGCACCCACGTCCATTCGAATCTTTACGGGATTTCTACGCCCGTACGTCAGAACAGTGGCAAAATATTATTCTGGAGGAATTGGAGAAGAAGGGCAAGATCGCGGAGAAGAGCCCGAAGGAAATCAAGAAACTAGGTTTCGATAGGTCAGAGGAGAAATGGTGGGATTGTAGGGAGGAGATTCGTGCGCTGGAAGATGAGCAGGAAGCAGCAGGTATTGGTGAGGTTGTCAGTCTGGCAGACAAAGAAGGTGCTGGAGTGGGAAGGAGAAGGTGATAGGTGTGCTTTGAGCTTGCCCAGACTTAGAGGCATATAAGCTGTACATGTACACATATTACGTGAGAACAAAAGTTTGGTAAACAACAACAAAAGATGAGATCAAGAACTCAGCAAACGACCATGTTACTGCTCAATCTACATAATGGCTTCAACCACTTCTGACACCCAATCTAACTGAACTGCACTGACGCCCCTAGCCCAGGCCTTGCCTGTGAACACAAACTCATTAAAGACAATAGCCTCCACTTTCTTTCCAAAGAGCACCGAACTGGGGTGAATAGCTACAGTTTGGTTGCCTATCAACGTCTTGTAGCTGCCATCCGGCATCAATCTCGCTGTATTGGAGATGAATCCTCGTAGCATACATGCGAGTATGGCCTGACTTCTAGCTTCCGAGGGCGCACTTTCGGACTCCTCGTCGTCGGCCGAAAGTAGCTTCTGTTGTGTGCACTGCTGTCTTAATTGTTTCCTGATGTTCATCACATTCTCCATGGCACGGTGAGATACATAGTGCTTGTCGCACCAGGCTTTGCGTTGTGACTTTTGTTCAGCAGCGTATCGTTGCACAGCCATGAGAAGTGTTAGGTGATCACCTTCTCGACGATACAGCTCACGTCTAGCTTCTTCTGCTTCTTCTTTGCGCTCCTCAGTCACAAGGTTCAGGAAGACGTTCTCGACGCTGAGTGCGGATATAACGTCGACCACGTCGAGTAGGCAGTCTCGCTCTGGTTTCGCTGCCTCAACTAGTACTCGTCCGAGTGTAGGTGTGAGTGGGAACTTAGCAATTTTGAGACCAGTGTCGCTGATCCCACCGGTCTCGGTGAGTGCTTGTAGGTTTAAGAGCTGTAAGAGAGCTTTCTCCAGGGCTTCTCGCGGTGGCCGATCGAGGAATGGGAAACTGAGTACATCGTCGACACCTCGCGCCTTCATTGTCAGGATTGCCTGACTAAGGTCGCAACGCAGGATCTCGGGCGTTGTGCGTTCTTCCATAGTATTGTATCCGCTTTCAGTGTACAGCCGATAACATTGACCAGGTGCTTCACGACCAGCTCGACCTTTGCGTTGGATAGCTGCAGACTTGGAGATTGGTTTTACAAGTAGCGATTCGAGACCCAAGCGATTCCGGAATTGCTTTATCTTTGACTTGCCACGGTCTATCACAAAACGAACACCAGGGACAGTAACTGATGTTTCGGCGATATTAGTCGCAAGGATAACGCGCCGCGTGCGATAGGGTGTTGGCTGGAAGATGCGTTGCTGGGCGTGTTGTGGAAGGGCGGCGAAAAGAGGCAGCGCAAGAAGCTTAGGAACCTCGTCGTCCATACCTTCAGCGTAGTCGTTTATAAGCTTCTCGAGCCCCTCGATGGTGTCTTGACCTGTCAGAAACACAAGAATGTCACCTGGCAAAGGTTCCTTGTAATGTATCTGGAAGACAAGCTTTAGGGCTGCTTCGACCCAATCCTGCGTTGGCTGTGGGAGATACACTGTCTTGACTGGATATTGGCGACCTTCCACGTAACAGGTCGAGACGTTGCTTTTGTTTTCTTTCGCAGTCTTCGCGACCGTCTTCTCGGTGTTCAACACAGGCTGGCTGTCTCCAAAGAACTTAACAAGGCCCTCTACGTCTGCTGTAGCACTCATTACTACGACCTTGAGAGGATGCTTTCTTGCTGTACTACCCTCTTTAGCGGCCACCAGATTCCTGAGAAACCCAAGTATCAAGTCGACGTTAACACTTCGCTCATGAACCTCGTCTACGACTACCGCGCTGTATTGCAACATGTTTGGATCTCTGAGCATTTCTTGAAGTAGCATACCCTCTGTCAAAAACTTGACTTTGGTGTGCTTTCCCGCAGCTGTGTCGAAGCGGACGCTGTATCCCACCTTTGCCGTAGGGCCTTTGTCACCAAGTAAGCTACCCATCTCATCGGCCACACGACGTGCCAGCGAGATCGCGGCTACTCTTCGAGGTTGCGTGATTGCTATGCATCCGGTACACCAGGACTCATTGGCCAAAAACTGAGGCACTTGTGTTGATTTACCAGAGCCAGTTTCTCCAGTTAATACCATGACGTTATTTCTCTGAAGAGCTGCCCTGATGGCGTCCGCTTGTGGCCAGATCGGAAGCGACTTACGGACTTGCCGTAGCTCATCACGCTTCTGAATCACGTGAGATGGTACTCTAAGGTCCTGTTGAAGTTTTCGGGCATTATCGTGTTGCTTGTTCTTCGGCCGTGTTTGTTGATCAGGCTTTTGCTGGGGTTTGCTGGATTGCGTCGCTTTCGATTCTGCTTTCGTGATTTCGCCGGCTTGCGCAATGCGCTCTGGAGTAGGTTTGAGAATCTCATCCTCAGAGTCGTCGAACTTCAACATCTGCCCAGCTCCCTTCTTGCCGCTCCAGCCATCTTTCGCCGGCTGAGCTCTCTTTCTCTTCTTTCCTTTCTTCAATTCTACTGCTTGGTCTTCCTTCTGCTCTACCTTCAATTCATAGCTCTTTTCCTTAGACATCTTTGTTCCTGCAATTGAACAGACCGTGTGAAAATCTCGAGTATGTATGCTTGCGACGGGATACGCGTTGCGTGTCGCCAATTTTTTCGAACTTCTAGAAACCCTTATCGATAAGAACGCGTGTCCGAATAAAGTTAGTGCGAACAGGGATTCATCTCCACCTCCGCCTCCACCCCACATTCTTAGTTGCTCGTCCGCCGCATCCTTTGTCTTTTCATGACGCCGAAGAGGGCCCAGTCGTGTACAATGTACGATCCCGTGGCATCGGGCTGAGATAGCCCGATGCCATACACTCTATGGTTGACCCCGCCGATGGCAATGATCAACTAAAGATGATCAACCGGGAAATTAGCCTGCATCACGGAGGATGCCGTCATAAGCTCTATAAAGATGAGCGGACAGCACCTGGTATGAACGAATCACGAAGCCAACGTGTTACAATACAGCTGAAGATGTGGGCTAGGGCCTTGTGTTTGCTCTCTTTTGCGTCGTTGGGCGTGGAGAGCAAGATTAATCGTAAATCTATTGTCCAGCAGTATAACCTCAAACTTAATCAATCGAACCCATACAGTCCTGTCCAAGTTGGCAACGGAAACTTTGCGTTTGGTGTTGACATTACGGGACTGCAGACCTTCCTTCCACATAATACCCTGTCATCATGGGGATGGCACAACTCGACGACAAATCAGACTCCGGCGGACTATACCGGCGTTGACTGGTGGACTCACGGTCGTCTCGTCAACTACGCGCAACCCAATCCCGAAGAAAAAGATATCAGTCAATGGATGATTGCGAACCCACATCGAATCAATCTGGGAAGAGTCGGACTGTGGTTCGGCGGTATTGCCGGAGGCAATGTCACCGAAGAACTACTCAATGGCAGAGAGCAGGTACTGGACCTCTGGGAAGGTATCATCAGCTCAACTTTCTTCATTCATGGATCAGAGGTTCGGGTGACAACTGTTGCCAGTCCAGAGACAGATACTGTGGCCGTGGAGATATCGTCTAGTCTAGTAAGGACAGCGGGATTGGGTGTCTTCTTTGACTTTCCTTATGCGACCGGGAAGAACAAGTTCGACGCGCCATTTGTTGGTCTTTTCAACGCTACTTCAAACCACACCACCACAGACGAGTACAGGAACAGAGGTGCGACAATCACTCACACTTTGGATGCAACAACATATGTAGCGGACATTGCCTGGGAAGGGTACGCTCGGCTTTCACGCCTACACAGCGATGAGCACAAGTATATCCTAGCTGCCAGCCAGAATTCCGAGCAGCTTTCTTTCACTGTTACATACGCTCCTCGCGCGGTCAATATGTCTTGTACACCCGAGACGGTTAAGCAAAAGGCTCAGACATGGTGGGCAGCCTACTGGTCGACCGGCGCATTCTTGTCACTTCCTTCCGCTAGCAACTCTTCAGCTGATGAGTTGCAGCGCCGCACAGTCCTCTCACAGTACCTCTTGGCTGTCAACGGGGCTGGCAAAGATCCGGCGCAAGAATCCGGCCTGGTGAACAATGGCTGGTACGGCAAGTTTCATATGGAAATGGTGTTTTGGCATCTGGCTCATTGGATGTTTTGGGATAAATGGGACCTCTATGACCGTAGCATCGGCGTTTACAAACGCTTCCTACCCAGCAGTTTCGACAGGGCAGAGAAGCAAGGATACGAAGGCGCGCGCATCGGCAAGATGAGCGATCCAAGCGGTCGGTCTGCGCCAGGTGAAATCAACAGCCTGCTCATCTGGCAACAACCGCATCCGATGTACTTTGCCGAAATGGAATATCGATCTTTCCCAAACGCGAAGACTCTTGAAAAATGGGACGATATCTTGATAGGCGTGGCAGACTTCATGGCCAGCTATGCCTTCTGGAACTCCACGACGAACCGTTATGATCTTGGGCCTCCAATGTACCCAGTCTCTGAGAATACTAAACCCAACGACACCATCAACCCCACTTTCGAGCTGGCATACTGGCGCTTCGGTCTCGACGTGGCATCAAAATGGCAAGTACGACAAAACAAGTCTGTTCCAGAGTCGTGGATACACGTACATGATAACCTCGCACCTTTTCCCACTGAAGAAGATGCATATGTAACATACGAGGGAATACCAGATATGTGGACTACACCAGAGTATACAGAAGACCATCCTGGTATACTAGGTATTTACGGTAAAGACTCCCATACACGAACTGCGTGTGAAACATAGACTGACTTCGTACACACAAACTTTAGGCTGGTTACCTCCAGACTCCCGCGTTAACACGACAGTATTCAACAACACTGTTGCCAAGGTACACGAGACCTGGAACTTTCCCTTCTCGTACGGCTGGGACTTCTCACTGTTGGCCATCACGGAGGCGAGGAGGGGTGATGCAGAACGAGCGGTTAGTCAGTTGCTTGATGTGAACAATGCTTTCGATGAGGTGGGCATGCCGGAGGGTGGAACGAGGGTACCTACGCCGTACTTTCCGAGTGCGGCAGGCCTATTGCTCGCTGTTGGTATGATGTGTGGTGGTTGGGATGGGTATGAGGGACCGGTTTGGCCGTCACACTGGGATGTTGAGTGTGAGGGTTTCACGAGAGGTATGTGAGTACATGTATGTTATAAAATGGTACAATAGGCTCTCTCTCTCTCTTCTAGTACTCAACGTACACTATTCTTCTGACTCCAGCAATGCATCAGTCGCGCTCTCTAGGAGCTCCGTACTGATTGACTCTTGCGATGGCTTCATCTCCTCGAGGACGTCCGTAAGAACGATATTCTGCTCATCTAACATTGAAACACCCAGCTCCAGTAGCCCTTCTGCATACTTGTTGAAATCTTTCCAAGTATTTATTCTTCTCGTGTCTGCCCACTTCATTTTGTCCCGCCAGAGAAACGGCGATCCACCGAGATACTTATCTCTCGAAACCACGCGGATTGTATGCAGACTGCGTTCTGGTGGCAGCGATTGCACTGTCTGGAATAGGCACTCCAGTCTTAGCACCTGATAACCTAGGTTCTGACCAAACTCGCAGGTAAAAATTTGCGTCACTGATATGGGAAGGCCTTCAATGACTTCCGGTATATCAATTTGCTTATATATGTCCAACGCTGGTGTATAGGGAAAAACTGTGAGTTTTGGAGCAGTGCAGTCAACGGTTACTGTTTTCAAACCAGCGCCATGTCTTGCCATGAAAGCTGCCAGAAGACGCTTGTGGCGCATTCCGTACGCATAGAGATTAGGTGGCCTCAAGTAAGCAAAAGCTGAAAGAACGGGCATATTCCAGTGGGTGAGCCAAGCCAATAATTTGCCAGTAGCCGGTTCCGTGACCAATTCGAGTGAACGTAGATTCGGTAGGTCAAGTGGTTCGATCTCAATCGTATACGAGTCGGAAACGCTAAGACGAAGTTCTGTCAGAGCCGTAAAGTGATTCAAGAGTAGAAGGCGTTCTGATGTATGGATGTCCCCACCGAAATGCATAACCATTCTTGTAAGCTGTGATCCGTGCGACCGTGCAATAGATGCCATAGTGGGATAGTTGAGGACGAAGCGGCAACAGAATTCGTGAAGGTTTGTCATATGGAAGACTAGGTCGGACAATGCCTTCTTCCGTAATTTCTTGGATTTCCAGTATTTCGCAGTATGTTCTTGAATACTGAATGAGCGAACCCAGGAAGCTTTAGGAAGACCAGAATCGGTCGTTTGATCTAAGAGCCGGGCCAGGGCTGTGATGTGGTCTGCTTCCATACCATGACTGTCTTGGGGTCCCGGAAGGCTGCCGTTGCGGTCAAGTGCTACATGGCGATACACTGCTGGCTTTATCATGTCCTGTACAATGTCAGGCATATGAACTATGAGATTAGTTTGGCGAAAGTAATACCCTCCACGATCTGCATACGCATTGTAGTCTCTGAAGGTCACGCGTTTTTCCTCTGATATAACAAGGGGAGCGACCAAAAATGTGAGTATCGTACGTGACCACATGGTCGAGTATATTGAGCCACAGTTCGGTCGGCAAAGCAGGCAAGATGTAAGTTTTAGTGGGAGTTTCGTCATGCTGTTGGCTAGTGTCGTCCATAATGTGATGGGTGCAGCTTGGAGAGAAAGAGCGTCAGTTGGGGAAGACTGCCTGGAGGTAGGTACGTCGATTTAAGGCATACTCAATTTAGGCGCTAGAAAAGCTAGCACTGATCAGGTTAGATGTTTGGATGCAGTTGTTGGGCGTAGTAATTATCGAGTCCCGGACGCAACGTCTCACATGAGACGTGCTTGTCGATGAATCTCGTTGCATGTATCTGCACAAAAACATAATAACAAGGTTCTGCGAACCTTCTTCTGTGTTCGTTCTTTTCTTAAGTAACCCCTCTGAAACCAGGGATGTCGTAATGAATTGAAGTGAACGAGTGAGGACATATTAGGGTCTCTCTGATTTTTTCTCTTAATTTTACATCATGATATAATACAGAGTCATAATTTGGTTCCTCATGACCATCGAATCTTCATCTTCCATTGATCCAGCTTGGCCTCCCACCACGTCTTTTTAGGCGCCCGCTCAATCTCGTCCATTAACCTTGTGTAGTGCTCTGGTGCAGATGTGGGCTTTAGTACACCTGGCGACAGTGCATATGTGGTACTGTATCGGTTCTCCAGCAAGGAAAATAGTGCGTTCACTTGGGCTTGCTCGAGCTTGGGGTTCGCAGGCGGTGACGATGCAGCTGGTGTTGTAGATGCAGGGGACTGAGGCTTTGCGCCTTCTTCAGGAGCGGGCGTTATGGGTTGCAGGCCGAATGGTTTGCCATGATGTTCGATTGCCCGTGTGAAGGGAAGATTGGGGCGCAAAGCGTCCTTGGGCCAGAGGGCAAGGAGACGGGTGTATTGTTTTGTGATCTGAAGTTGCGTGTCAGCTGACTATGCTGTGATGCATGGCTGTAGACTCACGGTATTTGCCATGACTGCTGTGTGCGAATAGTCCAAGACGGATCTCGTTCACTTTCTTCGACGATCCAAAAGTCGATGATGCTTCGGTAACCAGGGTCCAGGTGCGTGGTCCGTGCATTATTGGATCGTGGCGCAGCGCCCGTGTCGCATGGCCTAAAGCGACAAAGTCAGGCAACTGCATTTGAAACGCCTCCTCCGCTGCATCTGCCGCCTGACACGCTCCACCACCTGCACTTCCCTATCACAACCGCCGCCTTTCCCTCGTCCACGCCTGCTGCCCGGCCTATTCCTACCACCATCTCGCCTGTCGACACTCGATAACAAACACAGCATTGCACCCTTCACGTCACACATCCGGTTATCCGCGCAACATGCCTAGCCAGGGCTACGAGAGGGTACGCTGTCCCAGTTGGTCCCGGGCATCCTGCGCCCGCGCAACCTCCTTGTATTGCCTCCACGACGCCCAAACTAACGCATCAACACAGGTAGCCGCCCAGGACGAGGATGAATCTCCCCAGAGGCTGCAGGCTGGTCAGCAGTGGCCGCCTGCATCGCCGCCACCGTCATTCCACTCGCGCGCATCATCACCAAACGGCACATCACGACGGCTGTTATCCGAGGATCCCGCACCAAACGAGGAAGACCGCACACTCGCCGACACGTTCGACTCGGATTCCGACGACGACGACGATAACGATGGGCGCGATGATCGGCAGCGGCTGATGCGGGGAACACCTAGGACAGAAGACGAGCCCGTGGCTCCGGGCATCCAAAGGAGAGTAACGGAACTGCCAGTCTTCAACACACAGGCGCCGAGCAGCGGACGCGTCTATGGCGGAGGCAACGGTGGTGTATGGGCAAATCTGAGCGCAAAGCCGACCAGAGGGGAGGACGCTGAGGAGAAGCCTCCGGTGCGTATTCGAATACACGTGCACCATATCAAGCATTACTAACAACCACCAGACCTACGAACAAGCTGCCGCAGATGCCACGCCACCCTACTGGGAAACCACCATCCTCGCTCCCGGCACTTTCGGCGATGAAGTCTTCGTCGAAGGTCTTCCCGTCGGCTCCCTCTTCAGTTTCCTCTGGAACGCTATGATCTCCATGTCCTTCCAACTCGTCGGCTTCCTCCTCACCTATCTGCTCCACACTACCCACGCTGCAAAGAATGGATCCCGCGCTGGTCTCGGTATCACACTCGTACAATTCGGTTTCGGTTTCCGCTCCGCCGTACTTAGTCCGAACAACGGCAGCAATGACAACCCTGGGCAGGGATTCGACGGTGGCGTTCCGAACGACCCAAACGCCCACGACTTTGACCCCAACAAGGTTGGCAGTGGAAGCACGGGTGGCAGTGACATGACACCCGCCGCGAGTGCCATTACAGGCAGTGACTGGATAGCATACGGACTGATGATTGTCGGCTGGTTCATCCTGATCAAGAGTGTGTCCGACTTCATCAGAGCAAGGCGGCATGAACAACTCGTTCTCCAGTCTCCAGACCGGGGATTGGGCGTAGCTGTTGTTGCCGAGGGTGAAAGCCCAGAGCGCAGTGTATAATTTCTTCAACAAGCCTCAGACTGGCATTCTCTTCTCTCTCTTTATAGCGTATTATTTGGTTGCATCTAGGCACGGAGTTCTTCCTTGGTTAAAAACAGATCGAAAGATATAGTTTCGCTGTTGTAGCAGCACATCACTGTACGATTTTCCTTGCTTGTCTACCACATTACTATCTATATCCCGGTCCCCGGGTCTCTTCTATACGAAGTCAATCACCTCGAATCCTCACGTCCCATGTTGATGCTTTCACTTCACTGCTGACGATGATACTACTATAAGGCTCATGATAGATCAGCCATGATAGAGACATGTTGAATTAGTCTATTGGTTATTGTACATGCACAAATTGTGCTGGGTATCTCGAATCTCAAAAACGGCTATTGCCAAATTGCACTGCACCCGTCGATACGATCAAATCATATGCCTAGTGAGATGTTAGCCTACCCTCTCGATAGGGATCATGGATGTGACTTACCACAGAGAGCCGGCGCGCATGAACCTTCAAACACGGCAAATTTAGCATGCGATCCAAAAGAGTAGCGATTGGTTACATGACAACGCACTTTTCAGTCGCATACACCTCTCCATACTGATCCACACCCGCCATCAGCTCATTGTATCGCTGCTTGTTCTTGACTTCTTCTGGGAACCACTTTTTGAGAAAGGCAGCTTGTTCGGTATCCAGGTTGTCTGTGACGGGCCATTAGAAGATTTCTTACGGGTAGAGAATGGAGGAATGCTTACCTGAATTTGCATCGAAAACTGTCTTCTCTCGGCAGAAGGGACAGTTGTACTGCTTGTTGTTCTGCATGACGATCAAGCACCTGATGCAAAAGGTATGGTTGCAGCTGAGTTTTACGGGCCGCCATTGAATTTCCATGCACATGGGGCACGAGTAGTCATCTATTTGCGGGACGTGGGAGAGGATCTGTGTGTTGACTTCGGCGCAGACGGCCTTGGCGAGATGTTCTGAGAACTCTGGGTACTCTACTTGACGAGGGAACGTGGACTTTACGCCCAAAGCTGTGCGTTTGTCGAATTCTAGTGCAAGGTTAGCCTACCGGGTCTACGTTTGAAAGAATCGAAAACATACTCTTGAGAATCTTCATCATGGCATTGTGATTGATCTCGCCGAATCGTAGGCCTTGGAGAAGCTCTCGGTTGATGTGCATAAAAGTGTTCAGCGCTTGCAGGTTCTCCTTCTTCTTCAACTGTTCCACCAGACCGGCCTTAGCAATCTTGTTTGAGAAGCCAGCCAATCTTGCCATTGCCTTTTCCGAATCATGCGATTTATGATCAATCTCCGTTGTTCCAAAGAAAATGCCCTCCTCGACGTATATCTGGAAGATCTGACGCCAAGTAGTGAGCATCTTTCTATTGGCTCTTCGGTCGGGGTTGGTCAACTTGGCAACTTGTTTCCCTAACGCTTCAATCTGAAGGTTCATTCGTTTTTGTTCGCGCTCTTGCAGTTTCTCCAACCCTGTGACTTCACTGGTAAGCCTGGTGAAAAATTCGGTGTCCGAGGTAATGGGAACCTCGACTGTACGGTAACCGGGTCGGCTGCGAGAGCTATTTGTTGGGGTGGTCGTCATGGTACTGGCTGGATCTACAGAATTGGCAGATTGCATTGGCGAGCCTGAATCGTCCAAGACGCGCAAATCAGACATGCCAGTTTCAACGGCCAGCATCTGGAGTTTGCGCCTGGTCTCATCATCCAGCTGGGCGCTCAGGACCTCTCCACTTGTCTCGTTTACGTAGAAGAGTAACTTTGGATGGAAAGCCTTCCGTGACGGCGAGGCATTATCCCTAGAACTGTCGGGGTTGAGGATATACTCGAATGGTCTTTCTTGTTCATCATCTTCTTGTGTAGAGGCGTTGTAGTCTTCGACATGCTTCAACAATTTGGACAGGGTCGCAGGATCAAGGCCCACTTGCTGCAGCTCGTCGGTAAGCCTCTTGATGCACTTCTTGAGCTGCGAGTAAGAGATGGCGGAATCGACCCACTCTGGCGGGAAGCCCTCATCCCGGAGTGTTTGCTTGAACAGATGGCCGAACTTCATATTTGGGGAAAGGTCGACGAGGAACCGTGGTAAGGCTGGCCGATCAGGAGGCGCAGAGGATGCACGTGGGGAGCTGAGTGGTTGCAACGCTTAGCGGGGTACCTTCCACGCTTGTTCCGCCGCAGTTCCGTGGACCAAGCTAACGGAGCCTTCCAGCGATCACCCACGCTTGGGATATGCAAATGCGACTGAGTAGGGAGACGATGGAACTTGAAGTTTGTGTTTCGACCTGTATTGGACGTGTGGGTGGAGGGGAAGTGGTAATGAATGAGGGAATAACGACTTGTCAACAACGGCGACTTGTTCCGCGGGTCATGCGCCTGTCTGCCTGTGAAGGATGCCGCTAAATGGAGACCCCCAGAATTCAATGGAGATAGCCTTGCGCCATTACGAAGACATGGGGAAACGCCTCTTTTATGAATCAAAACAAATGCATGGCTTGTGCCGGCTTTCGGCGTTGTCTAGACTATGGTGGCTCCAATAGCGCTCTTCCTCAATCACTGTCTGCTCAAACTTTTCGCCTCTACCGTCCGCGACCAATCAACGCCAAGCGCACAGTCATAGGCGATTTGCTTGTCGTGACGCAACATAGCTCTTCGCGACTCACCAGAACACCACCATGTGAACCCCGGGATAGTCTCGGTGTATTGCAGGGCTGTCCGCACGCGCACCGGGAATGCTGTGAAAGCTCATCTACAAAGTTCCACGCCAAGACTCACATACGCCCACACAATTCAACTGCAGCATACAGCCACTGCAAGTAGTTCGAGACCCGAAGAGCTGTAGACTAAGTTCAGGCCATAGTGACTAGCTGCATCGGAGCCGGCAATCAACATGGGTGCATCACAATCCACTGGTGGCGGGGATGCGGCCAGTGGTGCGGGCGAAGTGAAGACGAGTTACTACGAACTGCTGGGTGTAGAACGCAATGCCACACCAGACGAGTATGTTACAGCGACCTGATAGCCACGACAGTAGTAACACGTCCCAGGCTCAAGAAAGCATATCGAAAGAAAGCACTCGAACTACACCCCGACCGAAACTATGGTGATGTTGAACGTACCACTGCCCTCTTCGCCGAAGTCCGATCCGCATACGAAGTACTTTCTGATGACCAGGAACGCGCATGGTACGATGCACACGAGAGGGATATACTGCGGGGTAGCACGGGCGAGGATTCTGGCGAACACTACCAGGGTGACATGAAGGTTACGACAGCCGACGACATAACGCAGATGATGGGCAAGTTCAGGGGGAACGTCGACTTTTCAGACTCGCCGAATGGCTTCTTTGGCTTCGTGCGGGAGACATTCGAACAGCTTGCCCGCGAAGAGGAGTACGCGGCAGACTACGACGATCTCGACGTACCAGATTACCCTACCTTTGGTCACAAGGATGATGACTATGAAGGCGTTGTACGTGACTTCTACTCAGCTTGGAACGGCTTCGCTACAGTGAAGAGCTTTGCATGGCTGGACGAATACAACCCTTCTTTGCAACCTGATCGTCGTTACCGTCGGGCGGCTGAGAAGGAAAACCAAAAGATTCGCGATGAGGGTAGACGGGCTTTTAACGATGCCGTCAGGACGCTGGTTGCGTTCGTACGGAAGCGAGATCCGCGGTACACTCCAAACACGCAGACGGCCGAAGACAAGGCCAAGGCACAGCGTGACGCCAGAAAAGCGCAGGCTGCACGCGCAAGGGCTGCGCAGATGGCGAAGATGGAACAAGAGGAGCAAGCAGTGCCGCATTGGGCTACGGCACGGCCGGCCGACGAGGTTGAGGAGGAGAGTGAAGAAGAAGTCGAAGAGGATCTGTACGAATGCGTGGCATGCAACAAGACATTCAAGAGCGAGCGACAATATGACGCCCACGAGAAGAGCAAGAAGCATCAGAAAGCAATCCAGGCTCTCAAGAAAAAGATGCAAAAGGATAATGCCCATCTAGACTTGGACGAGGATGCTCTCAAGAGTGATGAGATCTTACCAGCTGAGGACGAGCTTGCGAAGCATGTTGATGTCTCAGGCGACGAAGGCTCTGACGTATCTGTCCAAAACCTTGCAAAGAAAACGACTGAGCTTGATTTAGACGACTATAGTGTGGACGAGGAAGAGGCGCCCTCAACAAAAGTCGCACCTAGTAACACAGTATCTGCATCAGCTACTGGCTCAGAAACCAGCTCAGACGTAGACGATGAATATGCCTCACGCTCCGAAATCGAGGCTCGACTTGTTGGTGCCAGCACGGATCCTTCAACAGCAACGACCGAGGACCTCGAGTTGAAGCTTGGCGATCACACAGAACCAGAAGTCGCTGCCCCTCCAGAACCCAAGCTTGGCAAAGCTGCGCTGAAACGCCTAAAGAAAGCTGCAAAACAGGCTGAGGGTGAAGAGCCAGATGTAAAGAATAAGTGCGCTGGCTGTAGTGCCGGCTTTTCGTCCAAGACACAATTACATCAACATTTGAAGGAGCATCCTAAACATGCGGCGCTTAAATCGGTTGCGAATGGTGGAAAGAAGAACAACAAGCGGTAGTAGACATAGTCCCTCTTGGTCAGGGGCTTCTACTATTGATAGTGGAATACTCAGGCTTCTGCATACCCTCTCCAAAATACTATAAGTCTCATAGACTTGTACGTAGTCAATCAACAACGAAGCCATGAGGCTCACTGTTATTGACGGGGAATCTATCACTCGTGTCTTTTCAAATATGCACGAATTCCTACAGTACTTTGAAAAGGTGTGTAGAATGATCGAACAAAAGAAAAGACACTCCGAAACATCCTTTCAAGTTACTTTCCGTTCGAGAGCTCTGGTGACGTCTTGTTGGGATTAGGCATGCTAATTGCAAGACCGAGTCAAGTCGCCACGTTGGGATGCCGCTGGACTTTCCAACGGACGGACATGAATATCGACTACAAATCCTGGTCAAATGAAGACAATTTCCACAGGCATTTACAATATGCCTCTTTCGTACAAGATACCAAACCCGCTCATTTGCGAGCAGACCTACGTTTTAGACTCAATCCAGGTACCATGATATCATGCATGGTAGTTCGACCTCGAAACATATTCAGACCCAGAGCAGACATGATGTACCAGTTCTCGCCTAACCAATGCAACTTGACGAGCCTCAATCGACATGCGCACTGATACGATGTTTAGTCCAGACCCTCATGAAGTGGCCCAGCATTGTGTCTGTCTCCTTATCTTGCACACCTAGAGCAGCACACTACATACAGCCTGACAGACATGTTCCGTCATGCTCCTGCCGGTACTGAATGGTCGTCCATTACAGGCCTTTAGCGCATGGTGGAGCTGGAATCCTCGGCAGTAACACCATTGCAACGCTTCCAGGAAGGTTCGTTTCGATTAGAAAACAACACTTGTACAGTCTTTGTTTAAGTAATGGCAAGCAGTCTAATACAGCTGACTGGGGATGGATCAGATGATAAAACTTGATGAAAGACTTATGTGGCAGGAGTACAGTTGTTGAATAAACAAAAGAACATCACATCCGTCGCAGCATATAACCTCACCAGCAACACGTTTAGACATGGGGACTGGTCCTAAGTGGTCGCAAATGAGTACGGACATGACTGCACGAAGCCTTCTTCACTCTTGGCAAACGCCATAAGGAAAACATGATCTATGAGAGACAAGAGAATGTAAGCTAAGATTGGCGAGCATTTTGATACATTTACTGAACGACGTGCTGCTAATGAAAGTTGTTTTCGTTACTCAAAAGACGGTCAAAATGCCGCGAATGTTGAGGCGGCCGTGTGTGAGGTTTTAGAAGATTACACCGGGACGCTCCATGAACCGTGACATGATACAAGGTCAAGTCCCGTGAACTAGAAAGTTCTTCTATGAAACTAGTGCATATGCATCTCCACGCTCCGCTATATCAGTCAAGCTATGGATAGCAAGCTGGTCTGCATGTATGACCGCATGTAACGGTCAGTTGTCGAGCAATGGTCCGATGTTGTTCTCTGGTGAGCGCAACTGTTGTGTAGGAGCATTCTCGCGTTGTCGCTTATATAGGCTAGTTTCCTGTTGTTTTTAGTCCTAAGCGGCTCAACGGTATGCATGAGAACGCTAATGTTGGACCAACAGAAGTGGCGTATCGACGAATAGCTTCTTGCGCTGTTTTGCTTCTCAAGCATCGAAGCGCCATGATCTGATCTTCAATGGCATCGGTGTGCAATGTATCGTGTATGGTCGTGTCTTGGTGTTGTTTCAAGGCAGCTAAATGCGTCGGGACAGAAGGGTGGTCAAGCGCCAGCTTCAGGTCATGCTCTCTTCGTGGTCAGGCATTCTACCAATCTTCTGTGCCGCACTCCGCCCGCCCCTCTATCGAACCATGTCGTATCGGTAAATGAAAGAACGCATTCTCAATTTAGATAGAGCTCAGTACCTCGTGCACGTAGCTCACGGCTTTTGATGAGAGTGCTGAGGAGTGCGCAATCTTTTTTGGACAATCAGGTATCTCAAACAAGTGGTCGCCGACGATAAGATAGAGGGGTATATAGACCCCTAATGCGGCGCAGGGTCTAACGGCTGCTGTGTCTAGGTTGAGGCGCTTGGGTCTTCATGGCATGTTGCTGATCCCACCTTCCGGATTGTGATGATCGCCTCGCAGCACCTCATCACGTCCCTGTACAGTTAGCAGAAGAGATAGAGCTGCAGATGTCAGGGGACAACAAGCCCACCTAAGCTCCCGCGCTAAGACGCGCGTGCTGGTTAAGAGTTCCCCAATTGCATGGCATTGCTTGTCGTTGTTGCATCGGAGACTTCTCCAACACCTCTACTTCGCTCGCGTGTGATTGTATGGTTCCCGGCTGAATGCAATATGGCGGTTTGCACGCGGTGTCCCTAGTGATGCGCGTTAGCGTTCGTGGTAAGAGTCGCTCGCGTACGCGTGCTCCTGTGAGCTAGCTACAGAGAAAGCTAGCCGAGCCTAAAGGATCTTAGCGCAAGGGTCTGACTGAAGCTTCAACCCCTGAACGCTCCGGGCGAGCCACTCCTATCCACTCTTTCCTGACACCTCCAGATCCTTTTGATCGTATTCCAAGCCATGCGCTTATCGTGTCCGGCTCCAGCGGCTCTCTGATAGGGCACCAATCGAACTGTCAGCTCTCACTTGCCCGGTCTGTGATGGCGTGGGGATAGCCCAGGGGTTCGCATGGACGCGCATCCGCTACGAATGGTTAGCTTTGCTCAGACGAGGCTTTTTGGAATGGACGCTCGTATCAAATGGGGCACTATCTGACGGGCTCTTTTCTCTTGAGTCTTGTCCATCTCTTGGGGTTCTTGCCTCTCGTCAACTTCGTCCTCCGACATATTGCTTACCCTCAGTCATTCGTTAATACAGTCGCGCGTTGTTCACTCGTTATGCAATCATGATGCCAAAGGCGTACCGTCTTTCTTTCTCGCACCTCGTTTTCTATATCTCTACCTTCGTAATCGCGACGCAATTATGGTCCATATGGGGGCAATCGAAGCACAACTACCTACCTTTCTCCCATCATAGAAATCTTCAGCGAGATTGGGATTTCAATGCCGATGTGCATGCCAATGTGCATACACTTAGTCATGAGCAATGCGACTCTGCATTTCCAAAGCTGTATCACAGTCTGGATCAGGCGGTCAGCTTTCGGCAAGGCAGGAAGGTACACGTCCAGGATATCGAGATTGAGGCAGGAAGATGCATGCTTCGGGTTATGATCTATCAGGGCGAGGTACACACATCCGTTTGACAATTTTCCACATCGTATCTGACACCGTACTCGCAGTTATTCGTTGTCGACGCCGGAAAACCAGAAGAATGCTACGTGACAAACGGAAACGAGAGAGAACGCATTCTAGGAACTCTGGCACAGATTGATCGAGCCGTCACGACTGCCTCGACATCCGACCCCGCCATCCCCAACGTTGAATTCTCGCTTTCGCTTGACGACCTGCCACGGCGATCCAGGAAACATGGAACATTCTTCGGTTATACACGGAAGGAAGGGCCAGAGTACAAGGACATTTGGATGATGCCAAACTACGCGTACTGGGCTTGGAACTATACGCACGCTCCGAGCTGGAACAGCATCAGGAAGGAGATCGAGCAGAAGGAGACAGAACTTCCGTGGGCGAAGAAGGACCCTAGAGTCGTATGGAGGGGCAAGGTCAAGATGGCCAAGCTTAGGAAGGAGCTGGTCCGGGTCAGCGAAGGCAAAGAGTGGAGTGACATCAAGCCTGTGGTTATCAACAACGCCAGCGACCCGCATACCAAGGACGTTATGAATCTAAGGCAATTCTGCGGGTATGATACAAGACTACGCAAGACCTACAGAACGATGCTAACCACCTCTCAGGTACAAGTTCACCGTCCAAACTGAAGGCACATCCTACTCCGGCCGCCTAAAGTACCTCCAACTATGTCGCTCAGCCCTGATCACACACCCTCTCGAATGGCAAGAATTCCATACCCATCTCATGAGACTGGCTGGCCCCGAAGTAAATTATATCGAAGCATCCGAGAACTTCGGAAACCTCGAATCGGCCATGGAATACTACCGTGCGCATGACAACGAAGCAGAAGAGATTGCAAAGAACAGCTACGAGACATTTACCAGAAGATATCTGACACCAGCGGCAGTAACTTGCTACTGGAGGCGGTTGTTCTGGTCATGGGCAAGTGTACAAGGATATGAGCCACAGTTGTACGTACCTGACAAGGACGGCAATCTGGTTATGAGAGGCACACCATGGACAGCGTTCGCGGCCAATTGGCCCAAGGATCCCGCAGCTATCCCATGAGCGATGACAAGGTGTGCAAGGAGTGGCGTTGCATGAGCATTGGAGTATTTGGTTTTATATGCTTACGATACCCGCGTTCAAGCGTTTGAATAGACACGCATTATCATCTACGTTTACAGCAGTCATCATAAGCGGGGTTGATTTTTCTCAGTCTTATTATACATGGCTTCGGCAACCATCTGCCCTGCATTGGAGAACGCAAGCGAGCAATATATATATTCGTAAACCGACGCATGAGACCACGTCTCCGCATACGCTACCCCGAAGCGCTTGCGATTGACAGTCACATTACAGTCTTGTTCCTGGAAACATTCATGCGAAATGCAAGCTAATGCACATTGTACATTTGTCAATCTAATTTGATGAACAAGACTGCAAGAGAAATACTCATAGCATCTATCACAATGCAGATACGAGCTCCGGTGAAGGAGAGAATGGGTATGAAATGGTTCAATCCGCACCACATGATTCCAACGTTTTTACCAGCTAGCTGACCAGAGATCATGATCTCTTTACTTTCACTGCTTACCCTTTTCCAGGCTTACACTGCAGTTGCTGGTCTGGAACCAGAACGCCTCATCGTCCTCGACACAGGTGTAGGTCATCGCAGCACACCCATTCCTCGATGGCCCACCTCACTTCGGAGTCTGACCACGCGCGGTATCAACGCGACTATTCTTACACAGTTTGGCGCCAACTCGAATACGACCCAGGCCAGTGAGCCCATTGGTGCATATGCACTCGCATACTCTTTTTCGACTCCGACTCTCTTCTCAGCGACAGGCCAAGATATAGTCCGCACAAGTACAGACGGTGGTGATGCGGAGACTGTCCTGAACGCCGACAAGGATCACTATGGGCAAACTATGAGCATGACGGTTGCAGAGAAAGAACAAAAGATTTACTACGGCAACTCGTTTACGGGGTTAATCAAGAAGGCGAATCTCGATGGATCATACGACTCTTTGGTGCGGAATGTGTCTGAAGGTCTAGACTATTCTATTCTTTCTTACGCCTCAGCCATCTCCTACGCAGGAGGAATCGCAGTAGACGAGGAGAGAGGCTGGCTGTACTGGAGCTCCGTTCGTGGTGTCGATGACGGAAGCATACGGCGCGTGCCTATAAGTGGACTTGGGGAAGAGCAAGTCTTAGTTAGTGGAATCAAGACACCAGGCCAAATCCGTGTCGTAAAAGACTCATTATTCTGGATTGAAGGAGGGCGACAGAGTAACTCTCCAACTGCCATTAAGTTCCTCGACCGTTATCTGTCCCAGCTGCCCTCATCTGGTTCTACGAATACTCCGATTCCGACAGGTACTCTTATCTCATCAAGCCAGTCGCCCCTATTCTTTGAGAATGATTCCACAGGCGAGAAACAGACTCTTGCTATCACAAGCTTTGTTGTTTATCGCAATGGAGTGGAGCAGAAAGTATGGTTTGTGGTTAATAGCGCCGGCAGAACAGTATTTGGGAAATTGATCGAGGTTGTGTGGCGAGGAAGCGGAGATGGGAGGGGGCCAGTATCTGAAGTGTTAAATGGCGATACCGAAGATGTTGGTGTCCCAGTTGGAGTAGAATACGTATAAAATGGACTGAATCAACGATCATTGCGGTTACCGCAATGAGTCTTGCAGCCTGTGCATATCCTCTTAGCTTGGTTTACAGTGCCACCTCATACAAGAAAGAAACTGGACAGATACAGGAATAATAAGGTATATCTTACAGCCTTCATTGTCTCCTAATAAGAAAACTTATAAAAATTAATAGTATTGTAGTCTTCTAGGGTCTTTATATATATCTATATGAATTTAATACGCTTTATTGTAGTAAGAATAAGTACTCTGCCCTAAGAGGTGTTGAGTTTCTCTCTTTGATGTAGTGGTGCCAAAGTATGGTACCTAGGACATGGCAATACAATGCAACAAGTAGATGGGTCTCCGAACACCCCGTGGTTTTCACATACGACCAAGTATCTCGACCGAACCTTTGTTTACAATTGATTGGGTGTTTCTTCGAATTTTTTCATCAACGTCCAGTACCTAGGTCTCCACAATCGCAGCCGGAAGTGAGATGTGACCATAACGCATCAAAATCACGAAACCTCGACCTCAACAGTCCTCATAATCCCTTTCTGGGCGGGTAATATGCTATCCTCACTTCCTGCCGCACAACTCACCCGTCCTATGTGCGTCGTATGTGCTACTCCACTCTCGAGGTATTCCTTGTCGATCGCACTACCATTGAGTGAACCCTCGTTGCTGCAATTCAAGTCTTTCATCGCATACGAACGTGTACCACTGCGCTCCGCTTGCCTTATGTATCCGTTTGAGGCGTTAGGTCGGGACGGCCCGGTAGTCGGGTGTCGTGATGCATATCGATTGCTTGACGTCAGAGCGCTGACCGTGCCGAGAAAGCTGGCAGCTATGGGTTTCAGAGTAGGTAGACAAGCTGCGATAATTCCAACGTTCATTTCCGTTCTAGATGGTAGGTAGTCAGGATGGGAGACCTTTGAAAGAAGCGATAGTATCGGAGACATACTGTTGCCAGACGTAATACCATGCTCCCCGGCCTAAGAAATCTTTCTCATCGAAGAAGTGGAACTGGAGGGGTATCTTGTAGGCAGCCACACCGCAGGTACTAATATCGTTAGCCTAGGATACCATAGATGCATCACCTGAGGTCTTTAGATACGTACAATAGACCGAGTCCCATGACGATGCATAGTGAGATTTTAGTTCGTAGATCTGTCTGTATCTTCCATATAATGGGCATGGGTGATAGAGCGAGGATGAGATCAGTAGCCAAGTTAAACACTGGCATTCCATGTCAGTTGCGGCTATGCAATGATTCATGGCGAACGTACCGGAGTTGAAGACGCCAGTATTTCGAAACGTCGTGGTCGAGTAGCAGTTTGCATTTCTGTCATAGTGAGCGTGTTTCTTTTCGATTCGATGCCATGACCGTACCCTGTAGGCGGCCGCAAATTGAAGTCCCATGCTGCTTGAATGGGTAAACATTGCAATACCAATGAGAGAACGGATCCAATGGTGAACAGGATTAAAATGACTACGAGAAAGGGAGATTAGCTCACACCTTCATTGTTGATTTATGGACGCACCTATCATGGCATATAGCGACCATTGCCAATGGCGGCGATGATCCGCGAATCGAAGTAGGAAGCAAGCAATGGATATCTTGATACTAGAATAGGCGGCAACAAGTATCCAGGCATACCACCATGATATCTCGAAGAATCTCTTCCGGTGATCAGGCCGTACATAGGTGAAGTACTCAACGTGATGGCCTACTCCAACATGCGTGAGTGCGGCGAAAGAGGAGAAGCATGCTACACTTAAAACCTGTGGATGGTGTTGTCAGCAATCGTCAAAGTGTAGAGCGTTTTTTGCGAGTAGCTCGTTCATTCGGAACGCATACCGCTGAAAGCATCATCAACCAATCTGTCAGAACCAAGTCAGTGAATAACTTGCCTAATACTAAACAAACACATACCATCGACGCCGAACACCTTTAGCATAACGACCCTTACGTAAACTCGTAGCAGCACGCATATCATCGCCAATCCAAATAACGTCCCAATCGCAGCCAGCATCTCTGGTGCATAGCTCTCCTCAAGGTACGCCTGCGAAGGGGCGGGCGAGAGCAGTCCGGATACTTGTTTGGCAAACAAATTGATAGTCATCTTAATCAGATTGCTGAAAGACGCAAAGTATATCCAACAAAGAGACCAACGGAAAAAATGATGAGTCTCCTGTATGTTGAGGGTGGCCCGTTCCAACTAGCGAAGATATACTGCTATGAACGTAGTACCGGTTTGATGGTCAGGATCACATCATGCAGAATGATTCACAACACAAACCTACTCAGGATGAAGTAGCCTGTTGGTACCTAGCCAGATTAAGTGGTTGTTATGCCACTTGTGCTTCCAAGCAGCAAATTGTCCCATGTCAGGTTCATACTGTCTGTGCATTTGTTCGCACGTCGAGCTTTGGAAACATGTTGGAAAGTAAGAGCGGGAGGAAAAATGGGGTTGAAGGCGAGATGAACCCACGGTGGAGGTTCAGCCGCGCGAAGAGAATATGGAAAGTCCGGAACGCATAGCTTGAATCCTTCGATTGTAGCTCCCGAGGTCATGCATGGGCCCTGACCTCGATCAGAGTTGCTAGCAATTTTGACCTGGTTATTATTAACAACTCTCTTCTTGACCGTACCAGTTGTTGACTGTACCAGTTCTTGATCGCATCAGTTCTTGCGCTGCGTTCAATTTACTTGGTACTAATTACAAAATGGTGGGACTTGCATCGGCTGGTAGGGTGCAGGATAGGCTAAACCAATCTCGCTTATGCATATTGCATCCTTACGAGACGCCACCTGAGTACGCGATAGTGTCTTCCTGCTGGTATGCGGCGCAGTCTGCAAGCCAAGCACAGATATTTCTTCGGCATTGATATTTCCATAGCGCAGCAGACTTGCAACACTCGAACCCTTTCTCCATAGAAGTCTCTCGCTGTAGTATGCGAAGGCATAGTGTATAGATACATCGTCATTTCAGTTTTTGAAAAAAAAGATAGAGGTGGATGAAGCTCATTCAGCGGGAGTGGCGTGGGAACGGCTCTTGACGGCCGGCCCGAGGAACCATAGAATCCCTCGTATGGTAGTGAAGCATACATCATCCTAGCTGCGCGGAAGTTGGCTGTGATACCGGCGAAGCTAATCGGCTATTAAGGGTACCGTGTGATCCATGCGCCCGGTCGCTCGGACTACACAGTATTTCGGGGTTCGTAGAATATGGAGTATCGAATTATCGCGCAGGCTTGGAAGGATTTAACCTGCATGTACGCGGCAACATACTGTGGTCCTATCCGTGCCACACAAGCTCGAGAACATGAGGATTTTTTAGGGTAAACGCTACACTATGCCCTTCTGGATTCTCATGCCATGTCTATTGGGCAATGACAGGTAGGACCCCTTTGTGCGTCGGCATTGGTGACCCCAAGGGGCAGTGTTCCGAAGCTTACCTGGGCAAGTTTCTAGGCATTATCAGACTGATATTCCCGTTTTATCTCGTCTGACAACGTATAAGAAGGGATTCAAGACGCACCTCTAGCATAGCCGGCACGACGCTCGTTTCTCATCTGTCTGTTACAGTGACTGTCAATCCTGTCGTTTCGTCCTTCAAATCGGCTTGCCTTTAGACATCTGGTTCGGTATACCATATCGCTCTCAAACCACACGACATGCGAGGCTCCTTTCAAGCTGCGTTGCTATTGCCTTTGGCTCTAGGGAATGCGCTCCCATACGAGGATAAGCACTTCGAGAAGAGGAGTTTCGATCGCGTTGATGACATCCTCGCTGGCCTAGGTAGCATTAAGCAGGACCTGATGGCTGGTGGTGCTGCACTCAATCAGCAACTCTACCAAGCTGTTCAACAGCCAGCGCAGTACAAGAAGTGCAGCCCCACCAACATTCAAGTCAGGCAGGAATGGTATGTCTCCAAGGTCGTAACGCTTCTCGATCCCCACGCTGACAGTACTGAAGGTCTACCTTCTCCAAGACCGAAAAGAAGGCATACATCAGCGCCGTTCAGTGCCTAGGGAAGCTACCGTCCAAGACATCAAAGGAAACGTGCCCGGGCTGCAAGAACAGATACGGTAAGTTCTGACTGTACAAAATGCATGTGAGACATACACTGACTTCGCATCTCCACATCTGTAGACGACTTTGTGGCAACACATATCCAGCAGTCCTTCAATATCCAGTAGATGCCCCTACATTGATGGTACATTAGATACGTACTGACTTCGTATAGCGTTACGGGTAATTTCCTTACCTGGCACCGGTATTTTACTTGGGCGTATGAACAAACCTTGCGTAATGAGTGCGGCTATAAGGGCTCCCAGCCCTACTACAGCTACTCCAGGTGGTATAAAGATCCCGCAAAGTCCCCATTACTTGACGGCTCAGACACGTCACTTTCCGGACAGGGTGCCAAGGGTTGCAGCAACCAGGTGAGTTATGACAATGTGGAATACATGCGATGCATACACTAATTTCGTATCTTGAACTCTGCAGACATTCAGTGGCATCCCGCTAAACAGCGATCCCAAGATAAAGATTCCGCATGGCCCAGGTGGTGGCTGCGTAACCTCGGGACCCTTCAAGGATTGGACTGTCAATCTTGGCCCGTTGTTTCCCGCATCGGAATGCGTTGCACTGAATCCCAACCAGGATTTTGGCCCTAGTTATGGCCTCGGCTACAACCCACGTTGCCTTATGCGCGACATTACCAGCTTTACCGGCGAGGGATGGCTGAAAGATGATGACGTGGTTTCTCTGCTCAAGAGCGACAGTTACCAATCCTTCTGGGAAAACTTGCAAGGCGGCGCCCCTCCGAACAACTTCGAGAACAACTTTATGGGCGTGCATACTGGTATGAGTGACTCCCACAAACTAGAGCGTCTTCTTGCTGACTATGATGAACAGCTGGTCACTTCATCCTTGGTGGCGATCCTGCAGGAGATTTCACAGCCTCTCCTGCTGATCCATACTTCTTCTTTCACCACGCGTCGATTGACAGGCTTTATTGGACTTGGCAAAACCTGAAGCCGAGTGAGCGCACGAAGGCTTTATATGGTCCTACCGCCATGTCCAATCTTACCTCGCCCGCTGCGACTCTCCAAGACACTCTAGACATGGGATCGGCGTACCCTGGGTCCATCACCATTGAAGATGCCTCAAGCACGATGGGTGGTGCACCGTTTTGTTACACCTATATATAGACTTCCATACCTTAGACTTCGTTGTCTTTAGTAGAATTAATGATCATGTCAAGCCTGCATGTATGCGTTCGCGATGCGTGTACCAGATACTGATCTTAGTTCGTGGTATTCTTGAAGAGTCGAGCCTATAAGATTGCCTAAAAGTGTTGGCTTTCGAATATCTTCTCCTGAGCAGCCGTGCTGGGGTTTTTGGCCTTCCGGATTGATTTGGTGATGATAGAGGAAGCGGCGATGACAGTGGCGCTTGAAACGCGGTCGTAGGAGATTGGGCAGCCATTAGGCGATGTTGTTTACGAAGGCAGTCCTGTCTACTTGACTATCGCACTGCTTGCTAGTTTAGGGAAACAAATGAATCGACTTTATAGATACCATAAAAGCCTTTTCTCATACATACGACCATAGGACACTGAAAATTAGGCTTCCCGTCCGCTCAGCCATATACAAGCAGTGTACCGGCGGATTAGTAGTTAGGTGGGTGACCACTAGCGAATCCCCGCTGTTGTATGTTTTTATTTTTCCATCTTTATCAAATGAGTCGAGCCTTTTTGCTTCCCTTGAACTGGTGTGCGAAGGGATATTAGCCGGCATGTTAATGATATGTCTGCACCCCTCAGGTCCTGCGCTGTCGAAGTCCGGCTCGAAGTGGCGAAGTCCTGTGCACCTTTGGCTCAGCATTTGGACTGGCTCTTTGAACTCTCAGAGGGATCTTTCGAGCTGCCCGGTTTGAACCAGCATTATTACCTTGCCGTCTTCCAGTCGCAAGTCCTTGGACTATGCCTTGTATTCTTTTCGACCTTGCGTTCTTCGTGCCTGTCTCTACCCTTAACAATGCAGCATATCTATCGCTCTTGTTCATGCTTTCCCAATGAGCTTTCGCTGCGGGCACCCGAGCAAGCGCATCCTTGAGGTCATCAGGCGTTACGATTGTAGCAGAGCCCGCGTATGCACGATCCCATCTTCCGTCTGCCTTCGCAGCATCAATGGCTGCCAGGCCGGCAGGACGCATTCGGCCGTCCTCGATGAGACGCGATACCGTCCCAACATTCTTTTGAGACCATATACTCTTCGCTCGTCTCGGCGTATAACGCACTGTCCAAAACGCGTCATCGCAAGCGTTGGCGCGACCGTCGATCCAGCCATAGCACAGCGCGACTTCGACAGCTTCAGCGGCAGTTATCGACGGTATACCGGAGCTCTTCTTGGCAAGCTTAACGTAGACGCCCGGCGCAGTGGCATGTTCGCGCTCGAGGAAAGCCTCGAAGTCTGCAGGCGTTGCAAATGTTTGTGTAGGAAACTCAGACGGTGTTGCCTTGGGCGGCATGGTGGGTGTGGGGTTGTGGAGAAGTCGAGGAGTACACGGTGCGGGCCGCCGTAGCTTACGGACAAGATGTATACGAAGAGGAAAACTAGTAACTGTCAAGGCTAATGGTATGCGCAAAAGCATTAGCAGTGACTATGAGTGAGGAGTATTCGCGGAGCCGCGTCGTACATGTTTCCATGATACGTTCTGGAGTCAGGGGCGCAGCAACGCGTCAGGGGCGCAGCAACGCGTCAGGCGCGCCGTCGCATGAGCACGTGTGCGCCTAGCGAATACAGCATGTTGGCACAGAAGGCGATCACAATAGCGAAGTAGCGCTGGTACATATATTCCATAATCTCAATTGATGTTAAGAACACCTTTTGCACACCCAGATGCCTACCCCATACCCGAATACAGCAAAACAATTCCATAGGATGCTTTGTCGTTGTCACATAATCGCATCGAGGCAAATCATGCCCCGACTTTCGCCCTCTTTGTCATTTGTCCTTATTCCCTAGGCCCAACACTTGCCCTCTTCGTTCCCACCACTCCACCACTGCTCTCTTTCTTTGCCTTCACAGACTCACAACTGACCATGCTCTAACGTTCTGGTAAGCAACCGGTGAGAAGCAGGCGGAGATACGTGGAAGTAGGTGGTGGTCCGAGTTTAGTACTATACGCCGAGACGCCTCCGCTCCGCATATAGAGTCAAGTCAAGTTGACGTGCTCGTTCATGCAGGCTGTTCGTATTAGATAGCGAAGCTCTGTTCATCCTTTCTAGGCCCCAGTCCTCGCTTTACACCGTCTTTCAAGCTCTCCCAATTAACACCGTCTATCCTGCGGCCACGAGTACCAATATCAGCGGCAACATCGGTTAGCTTGCCGGTCGCAATCCTACGCATCATGATCAGATCTTGCGCGCTCTGGAATGTCCTCCCCCTGCCCTCAGTGAGAAACTTCTCGATGTGTTCCTCCTCTTCTTTGGTAAACGGCAGACTGACCAGCTCGAAAGCCTTGGCATCTCGCGTGTACACCTCGTGTTCGGGGTCCTGAGACCAAGCGTTGTGGTCCAGGGTTTGCTCGACAAGGAGTTCCAGCAGCGGCTTCTGCTCATAGTCTGGTCTGCTGTGAATCCACTGGTACATCTCCGTGACATTACGACCTGCAAGATACTTGGCAAACTCGTCCCTAGTCTTCTGGTCATCCAGCGGCGGCCGTACGCAGTTATAGTACGCTAAAGCCAATATATCGTCCTTGGGATCCCTTGCCATGCCTAAACTGCTCAGCTTATCGTTTCCAGTCAGAAGTGTGTACATGATCTCATCAGGGAAAGTCGGTATTATGCCCGGGTACGTCAAGTGGCCGACAGCTGTCGAGAACTGGAGATGGTCTAGGAACCAGAGTCCTTCGACGAATGTCCAAAACCGCTTCTCAAGGTGTACGTCTTTCGCAAATGCTTCCGATAGTTCAGTCGCTTCGTGGTGTTGTGCTGACAAGTCTTTGAGCAAGTAAAACACTAGGCAGTGTTTGTTGTGTAGTGTGGTATTGGAAGAGATTATACGCTGGTGGAGGTCTTGGAGTTGTTGCGGGGTTTTGGGAGGGTACATCTTGCTTCCTACATTCCGGTTAGTCCATCGTTAATACCAAAAGAGATGACGACTTGCCCTTGATGTTCAACAGTGTCAACAGCCGCTCGAAGAAGGTTCGTCCACCGAGCGCAGTCCTGTATGATTGAATTTCCTGAACAAGGCCATCATTATAGTACAGGCCGTGATAAACAGCGTTAAAGTCTTCGACGTCAAGCATGGTGTTGATCGAGTGGAGCTTGTTTAGGTGGGGGTGTGTCGCGCTCCAGATGTTGATGGACCTGTTTTGATTCGCGCACGCCAGTAGTTTGATGTTGCCGGCCCTCGCGCAGTCACGTGATGCTCTCGATAGCCTTAGTGCCAAACTCACAACTACCGCTTTGGATGCATTCATATACCATTGCAAGACATGTTCCGCGCTGTCCAGAGTTCTTAACCTCAAAAATCTACTTGAAACTTTCTCCACTCTTCACTTAAGTCTACACGCCGTGTCTTGCTTTTTTGTCATCTCGCATCAGCTTGAGACCACAGGTACTCAATTCCTAACAGTTGAACTATTATGTCCAACCAATATGCTTGTAGACTGTGAGCTTGGCGTAGCCACACACCCCTCACACAATCATATACAACCTTGGTCCTCCGAATCCATGCAGTGTTTCAACTTGTTCCAGTACTGGTGGTGGAGTAGCAGATGGCAGATCAATTTCAAGAAATATGGAGTCGCAGTAAAACGATACCGTACCAAATATTATTGATCGTATGAGCGAGCACGCAAGGCCTAGGGTACATAATCCACGGCACCATCGCACATCAACCCAAGCCATATACGTTGCATCACAAGACTCGACTGATCGGGGTTTATGAAAGGCACAATCAGCGATCGCATGGCCTGACTGCGACATGCATGGCAACTGAGACTCCTCGGCAACAACAAAGAGCGGAGAGTCGGGTCGACAGTTTCCGAAAGCCGATTGCATGGACTTAGGGACAGTCAAGAACTCCATGGCTTGGCTTCAGGATCAGATGATGGAGAAGTATTTTCGGAGAAGGTAAAGTCGATGTTTGCTCAAGCGAATGATTGTCCGCGCGGCCCACCCACTTCGTGTATTAGCGATTCGCACCTTGCAGGATCGGTAGACCTTTGCATTAACAACGTTATCCGGATGCTGCAAAGGCTAGGCAGAAACTTGGAGGCCTAATGAATAATCACTCCGAAGCGATGAGTCAAGCCCGGGGCTGCAAGGCTGGAAGGTGCTCAGTGTTGGCATCTGATGTAAGGTTGGTATGCGGACAAAGACGCCGAAACAAGAGACTGCGGTTCTAGAATCCAGTCGGCTGCGAAAGTACATCGACAAGAGCGATCAAGCATGACATGACGAGTTGCAGTCAAGTCACTGTCAATGTGAGCATCTGCGAGCTCGGAAGTGGCCGGATAACATCAGAACACATGGAAATCGGAACCTGATCATTTAGCGGTCTGCGCACAGGATTATACCCGCCTTTAGTGCGCGTTGCCAAGAAGAAACAAAGCTTAAGTGGATTAGAGGTATGGCGCAGGTGACTATGACAATGTGAAAGCCAATGATGTCTTCCGCAAGGGTGTGGCTCGGGCGAAGCCTGGAGATAGCGGTGATGGAATTTGCGCAACTTTGCTAGGGAAAAATATGATCTGACAGGCGCGTGGTCTTAGTTTCCGGCGTACCCTAGACCAAGGTGGTGAAGATCGCATGTGAATCTTCGATTCGAACACCCTTCGCCAACGGAAGGCCGAGACGGATAGTCGCTGTCACCGGAATCCGACGCAACTCAGACCTGTCCTTGTTACAAGCATGACGTGACACAGTGAGTCTGTTACAACTGCGCGATGGCGTTGGGATTACACTTTGTAGGACTCCGTAATAGACAAGTTTTGCTGTCATGATGAATTTATTGCGACTAGCATGGCGAGGTTTGCCGGTGGAGTGTAAGATGCCATTAGCGGTGGCTGACGGAATGGTCCTCGAGTCCGTGCTTGCCCGGACCCACCTTGCGCCTGACATTCGCATAGGACGTCACAGCCTGCGAAGAATGCGATGCTATCGGAGTAGCTTCGCAGCTGACAAAACTTCTGTCGCTATGACTTGATCAAACTCGTCGTTCCGAATCTTCCGGAAACAATATAGATGCGAGCCACGCCCATGGCGCTGGCAGCCACATGCATTGAAACACCTCTCACTATTGCGTCCGCTGTTTCCCTACAGTCTTGCATCTTCTTATATCTCCAACTGCACGTACCGAATTACAGCAGACTTTCATACGACTGGCTTGCGTATTTCCATTGCGACACTACCAGCTTTGCGCAGCACTGTCTATACCAAAGGCTTTAACTTTTCGTTGAGAGCAACATATATGCCGAATCGCGGAAGTTTGACAATAGCCGCTGCAGCGCTGCTGCTCGAGCTATTGCCGCTCGTGACTGCGCATGGAGACGGAGCTGGCATGGACATGAGCGTACATGATGCGCCGGAATCGCAACCACAGAATACCGGCTTTGGAGGCTATTGGAGTCTTTCTGAACATGCATCGCTCATGTATTGGCACATAGGGCTCGAGATTCTAGCCTGGGTTTTCATTTTGCCAGTCGCAGTGATGTTCAGCATCGCTTGTTCAAGATATACTCTACCTTCACAACTGGCATTCCTCGCTACCAATGCGCTAGCACTTGTGCTCGGCCTTGTATACGACCACAGGACCCCAGAGATGTATGCAGGGAACGCACACAGTAAGACAGGATGGGCCATTACCTGGATCGCATCAGCATGGGTGTTTTTGGCTCTCATTCAGGCCTACGCTAGGAGGCCTGAATCGCATTCCAAGGAGGACGAGTTGACGACCGCAAATATGCTTAGATATCAGCGCGTACACGACGAAGAGCTCCCTGCTCCATCACGATGGTCCGGCGATTCGGGCCAAGGTACAGAACGCAACTCGGCATCTCTGTACGACCATTCCCAGTCTCCTAGCGTAGAATCGGAAAACCAGCAATTCCCTGGCCCTGTACGAAAGCCTACACACGATGATGACTCTTTCGGCGATGGCGACGAGGACGAAGAGAAGCGCGGCTTTCTTCACAATACTTCCATAGATCATTTCTTCTCCCGCAATGTGGCTCGCTTTGCAGTCGGACGAACACTCCAGGCAGTCCGCCTCCTCTACGTGATGGTCGAGCGCACAATACTAGTGCAGGGTTTTGTGGGAATAGTCAGTGGCGCTGTCGTCTATGGCGGTATTGGGAGAGGAGGCGCGGTTTTCAACGTTTTGGCCCACACAGTGAAGGGAGGAATCTTCTTTCTGTACGGCTTCCTCACACTCGGCCGTTGGATGGGTGCATTTGCAGATTTCGGTTGGGCATGGAACGTTAAGCCAACAAAAGAAGTTGTCGGTCATCGGAAGGCGGCGCTGCCGTCGGCAGAGTTTACCGAATCCTTCGTCATCTGGCTTTACGGCTGTACGAACGTATTCCTGGAGCACCTGGCTGCGTGGGGCGATGCATGGACCGCTCAGGACCTGGAACATGTGTCAATCTCAGTTATGTTCTTTGGTGGTGGTTTGGTAAGTAGAGCCTTACTTCCTTCTCGCGCATCATCGCTAACCTTCCTAGTTGGGCATGTGCATCGAGTCGACAAGAGTGCGAGACCTTCTCAACAGCGGAGTGGTCGCGTCACAAGCAACCTCGCTGCAGAATGAATCCTGGCAACAGCCAAGCCAATACCGCTTCTCCATGAACCCACTTCCAGCCCTTATCATTATGCTGCTCGGCAAGATGATGAGCTCTCACCACCAAAGCTCAATGGTCTCGACCATGATCCATACCCAATGGGGCAGCATGTTCATGGCGTTCGCTTTGGCCCGCGGTCTGACCTACATTACTCTGTACATCTCACCACCGACTTCCTTCCTTCCATCCCGACCACCTACGGAAATTATCACCGCCTTTTGTCTGATTTCGGGTGGTATCACCTTTATGGTCAGCAACAAGGATACCGTTGCAGCTCTTGAATCGTATAACCTCGATGCCATGTTCATCTTTACGGTTGTCATGGGCCTTACCGCACTCCTCATGGCTTGGACCACAGTGGTCATTGCTATCAAGGGGTGGGCTTTACGAAAAGAGAGCAGCAGCCAGCATGCAAAGCGCTATGCTGGAGTGTTGACGTGAACGTCATCTTCACGGGATACCCTTCATCGATCGGTTGGCATTAGATGTTTGAACCACAGGAAGTTGAACTTCCAACCTGATACCCTATTCTTCATCTTTTCTTACGACCTTAACGCAGTCTTGGTTCATGAGTTTATTGCAGTATACCCCTTTCTCCAGGAAGGCAGCCTAGATAACTGCATTTGCTGCCTCTTTTGTTTTGGGTCCACAATAGTAATGAAGTCCGTCTTGAGAGTCGGACATAACAAGACCAGGAGGCTGTGGTAATGATAGAAGGACGATGACTCTGGAAGTTAATACTAGTTCGCATCGACTGCAACTAGAAATGTAGTAATGCGAGTCTATGGTCAAGTAGGAGAATCGAAACTTTAAAGCACAAGCTTCTTCATTCACCTGATCTATGCATTTCTCCGGATATCACCACATATGCATGGTGTGCTCAACGTGCTCCGCGACCCCGTCCAGCAATCCCTCTTGCTATGCCTGTGCCGCCCCTGGCTGCTCTGGGAGCACCCCCGCGCGTGGGTATACCGCCGCGCCCCCCTGCTCGCGGTATTCCCCCTCTTCCTCTAGGCACACCTGATGTTTTTGCAGCTGGTGCCGGCGTTTGCGGATTCTGGAATTTGGAAGCAATTTTGCTGCTCGGTGGGTTGTCGACGAAGGAAGTGTCGGTCGTCAAAAATGTGGCTTCCATGTCTTCAGGGCCTTGGGAGCGATTTAGGTTTGCAGCACCCTGATCAGGCTGGTTCTGTGGTCGCTTGAATGATTCTTGAACAGGAGCCTACAATTCCCACATTAGTAAACATGCTGCATTATACCTTGCCCCACGTCTTCTCCTCTTAACTTTCTTGTCACACACCTCAGGAAAGTCTACGCAGAAAGCGTTCATGTTCATTCCGTATAGAAAGCCTGCAAAACTCTCTGAGAAGCGTGCCAGACTTTCGTGCATCAGTTGCAATTGCAGGAAGTTTTGTTCAAGATCCGCCATTGCGTCGCTCAACTCAGCAAACCCATCTTGCAGCCCCTCTAGTGCGTTGCCGGACACAGAAGCAGCGCGACCGCGCTGGGATGAGTCGCGCAAAGAAGAGCGCGAAGAAGCGCGGAGGGGTGTAGTCGGACGTGATCGAGGTGATTTGCTGCGTGTGCGTCGGTACGAGGGCGTAGTCGTGGGCGTTGTGGAAGCCATTTGTGCTCGGTGGGAGATGTCTTTACTAGGGAAGTTCAGCGCGACAGGCGACCAATTGCAGTGTCGACGAGATGTGCCTCGAGTGCTATTGCTGTCTTAGAGCGCGGTCTTAGTTCGGGCACGATACGAAGTAAACAGTACCCCACAACGCAGGGCAATTACGCTAAGACGGATTGGTTGATGATGCCATGGCTCTTGCTCCCAAAACTGCGCCTGTGCCTCCCTGTCTTGAGATATCGCATTCAGCAAATTACCACCGGACGCGACTTGGAGCGGCTTACTTGAAGGCGTCCCGCTGCCGTATCCAATACGTAGAGTCGTGGCTGCAACTTTCGTCCGACGCATCCGAAAAGCTCTGCCGACGTCACACTAAGCAGACGCGAGCACTTGTCACCTCGAGGCTCAGCCATCTGACACTTTTCCATGTTGCCTCGCGCACAGCCCCTACGAAGACTACTTTACACCTCTACACCCCGCGCTCGACTATCTGCGTATCCTCCGGAGCACCGCATCGCCCCACCTGCCGTCTCTAGCTCTACCAACCGGGTCACACGCGCATACATACTACATCACAGTCGGCAGAGCACGGCGAGGGCACCTCACAAGGAGAGCGGAACCAACTTCTGGACTGTAGGAATAGTCGCTGGAATCGCAATTGGCGGCGCACTGCTCGTTCCCTTTGTGCACAACTCCCCCAAACCGCAGGCAGCAAAGCAATCCACCCCCGATCAATTTGAAATCACACATCTGACAGACTCGTACCTCGTCATGGCGCCGAACACTCCCGCAGGGAGGCCAGGCACTCTCACAGCAGAAGAGGATAAGAAGCTACGTGAGCTCTGGGCGATTGTTATGAAAGTCTTCGGTGTGGAAGTGGGGCCGGAAGCTACGAACGGCGCTGACGAGGTCGCATCGCCCACCACAAGCGAGGCAGCAGCAGACGGCAAGAAGGACAAGAAGAAGAGCAGGCTGAATGTGTTCAAGAGGAACAGAGGCGAGAAGGGTGCAGACGACAAGGCATCGACTGCTTCTGGAGGCTCTACTCCCTCGGACATCAGCAGATTGTCCATATCGGCTGATGATGATAAGTTTGGCCAAACCGCAGAGTTCAAGGCGGCGATAGCCAACATTCCCCCGGAAGAGCTGCGAAGGACCTTCTGGAGCATGGTGAAGCATGACCATCCTGATGCTCTTCTTCTTCGCTTCCTGCGCGCCCGGAAATGGGATGTTGAGAAGGCACTTGTCATGATGATTTCTACAATGCAGTGGAGATTGAACGAGATGCACGTCGACGACGACATAATGAAGACGGGAGAGCTCGCTGCGTTGCAGACCGCAAGCACGGATGCCAAAGCTAAGAAGAACGCCGATGACTTTTTGACACAGCTGCGCATGGGCAAGAGTTATCTGCACGGCTTGGATATTGAGGGGAGACCAATGTGTTTTGTTCGTGCGAGGTTACACAAGGCCGGTGAGCAGACGGAAGAGAGTCTAGAAAGATTCACAGTATACACCATTGAGACAGCGCGCATGCTGTTGAGGCCTCCGATTGATACAGCCGTAAGTTTATCTGAATTCCGTCCAGGTCATAAGATCAGGGTTATTGACCAAACGCAGACTATCGTCTTTGATATGACCGACTTTTCCATGGCCAACATGGACTACACACCGGTAAAATTCATGATCAAGTGCTTCGAGGCAAACTATCCGGAATCACTTGGTACCGTCCTCGTCTACAGAGCACCCTGGGTTTTCAACGCTGTATGGAGCATCGTCAAGGGCTGGCTCGACCCCGTCGTCGCCGGCAAAGTACACTTCGCAAAGACGATTGACGAACTAAGCAACTATGTACCAAGGTCACAGATCCCAACTGAGTTGGGCGGAGACGAAAAGTGGGAATACAAGTACCCTGAGCCTGTACCCGGCGAGAACGACAAGATGGCCGACGAAAAGCCCAAGCAGGAGCTGCAAAGCGAGAGGCAACAGATCGTCGACAAGTACGAGACTACGGTGCTAGAGTGGGTACACGCGGGTGACAGCGTGCCAGCGGAGGAGAAGAGGAAAGAGAGGGACGCCGTTGCAGAGCAGTTGAGGCAGAATTACTGGAAGCTGGACCCGTACGTTCGAGCACGCTCGCTGTACGACCGCGCGGGCGTCCTCCTAGACGGAGGCAAGCTGGAATTCTACGGCAAAGCACCTGAGCCTGCAGTTGCACCCGCAAAAGCAACAGAAACGAGCGCCGATGACCTTGACTAGGACTCGAAAGCTCAGCTACTCCGGCGGTACAGCACTTTCAACACATTGGCGGGCGCTTGAAAACAATCATAGCCCCTTTTCCTCATATCGCTGTGTTGGTGGCACGACCGCTCTAGCATCCATCGCTCTAATGTGTAGTAGTCTATCAAAACCACAAAAACTCTGTATAGCCTCGCATCCCTTTTGATTGTTCGCCTTGAAAAACGTACTTGGCCCTAATAATATCTCCTTTTCCGCTTGGTAGCATCCGCTCCTACAACTGCCTAGGTACTAAAACCCACATGGTCTGCTTTTCTCCTTTCTTTCCTTTACCGCCTTGACACGTTTCACCTCCGACGGAATAGTCCTATAGTCGGGCGCCACTGCAGAGATCGATCCAAGACATTTCATTCGATGACGGCCCAAAATTCCGATCGCAACGATGCACTAGCGGAAATGACGTCATGTTCCTGCTTCGGAACGCCTTTTTTGTTTTGCCCTTTGACCTCCATTGCTTCTTCTTCGGCCTTTAAGTGCTTTAGCTCGGTGGTTAGTGCTCCGGGTGTTTGGTCCCCCTTGGACTAATGGCATCTTAACACAACGTCCGCCAACCTCGCAGATTTATGAATCTGTTTGTGCTGTTTCTCTAACTTGTGCATGGCTCTAACGACGATCGGCGTTTTGGCAACCCAACGTGTCTCCTGCATCTTGGTGTGTTGTCTGGGTTGTGAGGGTTGCCGATGGTGGATTGGATGACATGTTCGTTCGCAAAGGTGTGGTGCGACAATTTCGGATCCAGCGTCCTTTTTTATGTCCTAGATTCGGTGCTGGGATGTATGGTGTTCCATCGGAGGTAAGCACAGAACATCAACAGGACAAAACTACCATACGCTTTGAGTCGAACGAGATGTTGTTGTTGTTGTTATACATGACTTTCGTGCTGTGATTTACATGCTATGAAAACGCTCTATGAAGTGGCTTTGATATCCCTGCCTCCTTTCGTTCGATGACTCTCGTGATTGCTCACTTCATCCATCTTGTTAGCCATTTCTTCCGCGTTTCCAAGACCGGTGTTTATCGTCTCAGTAGTTTCATCAACTCGCTCTCTAGGAACCCCTTCGCCCATTCGCGATGTGGATCCGGATAGGATCTTCCCGACGTCTGTCTTGTCTCCGTCTTTGTCGCCATCGGCCATGATGAGGCCCTGTGCTGGCTGGTAGGTGATGTTGCCTTGAGCGGCGGCAGCGAGACGTTGCTTTTGGCCTGTTTCTCCGGCGCGACCTAAGACGCCAGCGATGACCTGTATGCAGCGGAGACTGAAGTGCATTAGTATGAAGCACTAGTTATTATGCAAAGCTGGCTTACCTGTCATCGTTTGCGGGAATAGGATAGGTGACCCAGGTAGGATCTGCGTTGGTATCAATGACACCAATTGTGGGGATGTTGTTCAGCGCACACTCGTGCAGCAAGACGTAGTTCTCAAGCGGGTTCATACAGACTACGAGATCTGGTCGGAGGACGGGTCGGTCGTAGAGCTGTTCTTCGAAGCCTGGGACTTCTTCGTCTAGCTCATTGACTACCTTTGTTTTGCATCTGCCCAAGATCTGCTGGCCGTTGGTGATGCTTCCGGGGATCCAGCGCTCGAATAGATGATATCCCTTGGTTAGCTCGGCTGCGCGGGCGACTGCCCTATCTTGCCCGTCGCGTGTACCAACGAATAGGATCATACCTCCGCGCCGCGCAACTTCCTGTACCACTTTGGCGGCTCGGCGCAGGTGGGCTGCGGTGACTTCAAGGGAGATGATGTGGACACCTTGTCGTATACCGTGAATGTAGCGTGCATTTGCGGGGTTCCAGAGGGAAGTGACATGGCCTTGGTGGGCCTCGGAGGCGAGGAGCAACTCCAAGGTAACGTCGGCGGGGGAGGGTGGATGGTTCAGGAGGGTGTGCGGTTGGTAGTGAGGCTCAATCTGGGTTCCTAGCTTCCCCATCTGCTTGGCTGGGACATGTCAACGGGCTGCAGTCGGGGATAGGGAGACAGATGTCATACACTGCTGCTTGTACAGGTGGTACTGCTGGGCGACATTGTCGGAGGCAGATTCCGAGGTTGCATGGGTCTCGGGGTCGACAGAGGGCACCGGCTGCTGGAGGTGGGTGTTGAGCTGGGCCTCTATCGACTGCAGCTGCTTCAGGCTGTTTTCGGTCGAGGCTTCAATCGAGTCGGTCTCGGTGGAGAGAAATCGCTGCAGCGGGCGGGACGACTGTCGAGCGTGTCGTGCGAGTGCCCGGGGCGCTGTGCAGCATGTCAGCAGTTGCGTCCATCTCGAATTGATCACGACCCACCACTGCGCGCTGCTACACTCCTCAATATCATTTTGCGTCGCGTGCAGTCCCGTCGTGATGGTCCAAAAAGTCTCGAGCGATGGCGCCAAGCGTCGGATTGCGCTAGGCCGCTTAGGGCCGGCGTGCATCTGATGGGGCTCCAGACATGGGCGCCCGCGGGCTTCCCTTCAGTCAGGTCAGGACCGATAGAGGCGCCCTCAGCCGATAGCCGTCAGCATCAGATCATGTGTGCCAGTGATGAGGCGCTGCGAGGGGCTCTGGGTGCATCGGTCCCACCGGTAGGGCAGAGCATGGCATTGTGCAAAATGCCATATGTTGGTCCCTGCTGCTGTCGCTCGCCTCTTGCTTATCCCATCCCGCGCCGCCTGTGCTCAAGGTGCTTGTGCCGCCCCCAATAATTGCTCGCGTGAAGCCACTGACATGCTTCCGTCATCTTCTGCAGCTATCCCGCACGCGGCCTTTTGGCTTGGCACCTAGCGCATTCCACTGACGCTACACATCCTCGCTCTTCGCATCCCAACCTTACACGCCCGGCCCTGCCCTGCCCCATATTGACCAACGTGTTGCTGCACCTGAGCTGCCGCCTCTGAGCCCATCCGCTGCCGCCGCCCTCGAATGTCGCTTGTGAGACGCTGCACTCCCCGCCGCCGCGACCCGTCCACCCAGCGAAAGAAGCGATAGCGCACCACCACCGTGCCCACGGGCGCTGCCCACTCCCTTTGATGCCTACAACCCCGTGCCGGACGACCGACCTCGCTGCTCTTGACATTTGAGCATCCCCGCCCGCCACCATGAATGGCTATCCATATCCCACCCGGCCCTTCAACCAGGCCAACAATGGGAACGTGATGATGAACATGAACGGGGACGCCATGAACGGCTTCAACATGGTCGAGGGCCAGTCGCTGGACTCAATAGTCGCGCAGAACGACAAGGACAACCGCCGGCGGAGTATGCCCGTCTACGCCAGAGGGCCGCAGCAGCAACAACAACAACAACAACAGCAGCAGCAGCAGCAGATGACTCTTGGCAGCCCCGACACGCGCAGGTTGAGCATGATGAATTTCGGAGATCCCAATGGGGGCGACATGGACGATTTCCAATTCGATATGTCTACCGCGGCCATGGACAACATGATGCGCAGCAACACCTTTCCGCGAACAACTGCCGACATACAAAACGACCAGCTGCCTGCTGCGGACCTCAACATCAACACCCAGTTCCAAAGCCAGGCTTCTCCGTTTCCAAACATGGCCACTCCTGGCTCTACATACGCTTCGCCCATGCACCAGAAGAATTCTATCGACCTGGACATGGGATCGTATCAGAACGGCATGACCATGCCTCTGGACATGGACGACTCGCTCAATATGATGCCAACTGATATGAACATGTTTCCCGGTAACCAGTTCAACACCCCCATGTTAGATTCCCCCCTCAACCAGGACTTTGTTGGGCCCATGCCTGCTGCCCCCCAAGGGAATAACACGCCATCAGGACAAGCCCAGGACCAGTTCAAACGGCCTTCACTGAACAACACGCCCGAAGTCAAATCAGGGAGATCCAGCTTCCTCAGCCGTACCACTAGCCAGGACCAGTCCAGCATGCGTTCTACTTCCCGGCCCCAGAGTGAACATCGCTCCTCCAACAGTGTCCCGACACGCATGACTTTGGCCTCACTACAAAATCAGCAACCTATCGGACAAGATCCTGCACAGGACCTACCCAAAGAGGTCATGAACAAGCAACTGCAAGATTTTAAAATCCCATGGCAGCAGCCTGCAGGCGGATTTCCGTCTACGATGCATCAAAATCCTCACATGAAGACGCAGTTCAAGAATGCTTACTCGTCGACAGGATTCGACATGCTCGGAGTACTAGTACGTTCCTGGATCACTTTGTCTGAATGTCAATTGCTAACATGCGGATAGATGCGCGTAGCTACCAGACCTGACCCCCAGATCGACATCGGCTCTGTCGATCTTTCGTGCGCTTTTGTCGTTTGCGATGCCGAGCTAGACGACATTCCTATTGTTTACTGTTCAGAAAACTTCGAGCGACTCACCGGCTACACAAGACATATGATTCTTGGACGGAATTGCCGCTTCTTGCAGGCACCTGACGGAAAGGTCGAATCTGGAATCAAGCGAAACTACGTTGACGACGATTCGGTCTACTATCTCAAGAACATGATTGAGAGTCGTGCAGAAGCGCAGATCAGCTTGATTAATTACCGAAGAGGCGGTCAACCGTTCATGAACCTTCTGACCATGATTCCCATCGCTTGGGAACCAGGCGGCAAAATGAAGTTTTTTGTCGGTTTCCAGGTTGACCTTGTGGAGCAGCCTGGAGCCATGACTAACAAGAACTCAGGTAGGCCCTCGTATCTAATAAATATACCCGTGTGTGAACTGATCATGTTATAGATGGTTCTTACCGGGTCAACTACCAGCGCGGGATGTCCATACCGAGTTACGTTTTCAGCGACCACCACAAGCCACAACAAGCCGAACAAGGCCAGACCATCTCCAAGGATGAGGTGTCGAACGTACTCGCTGCGTATAGCGGAAGCGGCGATTCTGAGATGACAAGACGTATCTGGGATAAGGTCCTGCTTGAGAACAGCGACGACGTCGTCCACGTCTTGTCACTCAAGGGACTCTTCTTGTATCTGTCAC